CCTATGAAATTAAATGCTTCATTCGACTCCGCTAAATTTTTTCAAGCATTTTTTTAATTCATCGTAAGCAACCTCAATCTTTTCAAATATTCTGTCTCTCAATAATAATTTCCTTTATTTACCGCTGCTGCTTTCAAATCTGAAGGGTATGCAATAAGAAATTTTTTCGCTACTTCTCACCTTTCAAATATCAAATTTTTTTACAAAAAGTCTGAAAGATTTTATAAAATCTTTTTATAAAAATTCGTTATTAGTGAATTTATTTCTCATTTGACTTTTCCCAATAGAGGACTTCAGGAATTTTTATTTTTCTTGCTTTATATTTTGCATTCTCAATCTTGATTCCCATTTAATAAATATTTTAAGTAAATTTGCAAATTTTGTAAATTTTTCGTTATCTTTCCTGAAATCCTTAAATTATCTTTGTCTAATAATCTAAATTAATCTTCATCTAAATTTAATTTTATTCATTCAATTTTTTTGTTTATTTTAATTCTAGTTTTTTAGAATCCAATTTTGATTTTAAAAAATTCATAAAAAAGTAAGTGGTTAACGCTCACTATTTCTGGTAATTAGCTCAGCTTACGTTAGTATAGTTAAAAATTTTTGCATTCACTTGGCGATAGAAATAGCGATAGATCACAAATTCCATCCAGTTGTTAGTGGGTTTAGGAGAGAACTAAAAGTGTTCCATTAACACCATCTGCATTCGACTTGTATTAGCTTATTTGCTTCCTCCTAAGCACCCATGCTGCTTGTGTATAGCTGCAACTCACCACTCGATTATCACAATAACTGCATGACTGTATTTGTACAGTGTCGTAATAATTAGAATAAGTGGGTCATAATAACTGTCATAAAATTATTAAAGTAGCGTATTATTTCTTCCTTTCTAATCCTTTTTTAAGAATGTTGTAGGAATAGGAAGAGTCACTTTGTTAAATTTCTGAGATAGAGCCAATTGACAAATTGAGCATTCAAAAGAAATTTGGCAAAACATAGGCATCGATGAAAGAAAAAAGACTCATATTTTCCGTTATCGAGATAACTTGCTCTTATAAAACGTCTTCATGCTGTTCACCATAAAAATTTTGTATGATACAGGGACTAGTTTGTATTGTCATGGTCAATGTGTTGTGGTCATCTGCCCTTGATTGATGGGTTCGTAGAAATGATAGTGAATTCGATTCGCTGTATACTACAACAATGGCGAATAATATGCGCGTCACAGAGAATCATATCAAACCGGCTCATCTGTGCGAACTAAACCCGGGCATTACTTGCTCCAGGAAATATTTCTCCAAACTAATTTCTACTATAACTAGTTAGTCCGACTGGAACTATTCCGCAATCATCTCTCCTTAATTTCCTCATTTTTTTCTATAAATTATAGATTTAAACCTATAATTATTTAAAAATAAATAAAGTTGGTTTTTCAATAAAGCATTCATCTCTTTTCCTAAGACTTTTTGCTAAAATCTTGTCGATTGCTCCGTTATCATTAACTTGATATATTTGATAATTTCATAATAATTTGATAGTTTGATAAGATAATTTCACTACACCATTATTTACTGAGTTGAAAATTAATTTTATCGAAATTCTAAGAATCAAACTGAATTATCTTCTTGGTGTATGAAATTCAGTTATAAATTGGTGGGTCTTGAAACACTACAAAACGCACCGTTCAGCCTTTTTTTGGAAATTACAGTTTAATTTAAGATTTATACATCGATAAAATTTGTGATAGGATTAACATTTGAAGAGATTCTCTTATCTTTTTTGTTTACTTTACCGTTTTAGAATTATACTACACTAAATCTATTGAAAATATTGCTTTCATAATTTATGGCTTTCTTCCAGATATATTTGAGAAGTGGTTTTTGCCTTTATTCCTTCATTTAATGAATTTATACACACCTGGATTGCCTTTTTTGGCACATTCTTTCACCTAAATATTAAATTATATGCTAAAAATTTTGCAATTCAAAGCAATGAAGTCACGTACTTTCAAATTAGAAGTAGTTAGGTGATTAGAGGATGTGATGAGACAGTTTGGCCAGAAAGTAGCTTGAAGATAGATATTCCGAGCAGAAGATAGATATACATTTTTTAATGACTCATGCCAGATGCAAAGGTTGAACAAAGTCGATACATAGGATGCAAATCAAAGCTGTAGGTTGGCATTTTAAATATCTCCATTTTTTCATCTATATTTAGAAAAATGAGTGTTTCATTTTTGTAGCAAAATGCAACACTAAACAAACCAGTGTTTATAAATATGGCTTGATAGAAATGAATATCTTTCAAAATATTGATATGGTGTTTCTTTATAGAGAGATATTTTAAGACATAATGAAAATCATAGAAAAGGTAGGGGAATGAATCCTGAATTGCCTTAGGGCAAATGTCAACTAAATCATCATTGCAATGGTGCGATTCCCTCAGCTCATTCCCAATATTCTTCTGACCATCTTTTTATCGTGCCGATTTGATCCATTTGAATGGGCCGTTTGTTTTCTTATTACTCCATTTGTGTTGCTTTTTAATTGTCTTATTACTCTATTTTTCTTACTATTCCATTTGTACTGCTTTTTTTATTGCATTCTCATGATTTAAACTTATTTTTTTGTAAAATTTATAATAGTGGATGAATAGAATCGAATTACAACAAAGAATTATCAAGTTAATCGTTTATAGGGTCTAAGATGAAGAAAAAAAGCCTGAGTTCTTGTTCAAATGAGATATTTGCTAATATTTTATTTAATACTTAATATTAAATCTGCATGAAAACACTGACAACTGAACAAATAATTGCCTGAGAGTAAATAATGTGGGTTTGATTCCAGTACCTTGGCGAATTAAGAGTGAAATCTAGATGACTGTTGCGGACTAATCAGTATCAATCAGGAAGTGAATTTTCGGCACATCTCGTCTAACAATCTAGTAATGAAACACTTGCGACAGAACTGATATGCCCAAGAAGAAAAACTGAAGAAAAGCTGACCATTCATGGAGTTTCACATAGAACAATAACGTATTTAATAATCTAGCTCGTCCTTTAATTCCAAAATCATCCGTATAATATTGTATTTAATGAGATTTGGTTATTTAGAAAATTGCCATCTGATGAAAAATCTTATTTTTGCACTGAATGAAATTAGGTTATGGTACTTTTCTAAGCTAGATCTTTCAACTGGTTTCAAAGTTTTTTTTGTATAGAATGTAGTAAAGTATCACATTGTTGGTTGTTGAGATCAAAGGCTATTTGATAGATTCACTGGACAAATTGGGGGAAAATTTTTGAAGCAATGCGGAAATCACTTTCACCTTCAAGAGCCATCGATTAATAAACGGTGAGAAAACAAAAGTGTGGTTTGGGAACCGGTTAAAAATTTTCATCACATAATGGGAGTGAAAATAAAAACCAGTAGTTTTCCGTGAAAACAGGTAGCCTTACACAAAAAACTAGTAGCTTGGGCTTTGGAAAAAAGCAGTTTAGATTAACTGCCACTATCATAAAATCAGCAATTCTGCGCCAGATATCAGTGATCTCGATTATTTTCGGTGAGCACCATTCTAAGCTTCGATTGGGATAATTCTCATCGACTTCACTAGCAAATAGATTACTATCTTAAACTAAAATTTATACGATTGTTTTTAGCATTTCCATAATGTTATAATAAAGTGGTTATAATCCATTTTCTAGCGCATTTTCTAAGATTTTGCCATATTTATTCTAAATTCCAAACAATATTGCCTTCCTTGAAAGAAATGCTTAGAAATGCTTTCTCGCAATGTGCCGTCGTTAATTTGCATATTTTATTATTTAGCATCATTATTTCTCTGGCAAGGTTACGCAAGTTATTATCCATCAGTGCACCATTTTAAAATTTTTGCAACTATGCTTTGCCAATTTAGACGTACCATTTTCATAATTAAATATTTTCACATATGGGTGAACATTTTTATAGAATTTTAATCGACTTTTATCGTTCATTTCAAGTTTTAGATCATTGGATCAAATTATAACTATTTTTATATTATAACTATTTTTATTATTTCTAACGTAATTGTCGAATTAGTCTTGTTTAATACAAAAAAAGCGTAAATCTTAATAGATGAATAAAAATGTTGGGTTTAAAGGTTGGATTGGGTTTGATATTAGTTTTAATAAAAATGTTGGGTTTAAAGGTTGGATTGGGTTTGATAATAGTTTTAGCTGAAATTTGACTGATGAAATTTGATTTGAAGAGCTATTATCAGATCTACCAATATTTAAATAGATAGTTCGTCGCATTATGGAAGAATTTGTAGAAATTTCTCGGACTTTTATTTCAGTACATTTATACATCGATTAATGCTTAATATTACTCAAGTTTGCCATTACCCAACCTGAAAATTGAAGGAACTCTAAGGTTTAAGCGAATATGTAAAAGTATAAGCGAATATAATATATGAATATATAAAAATATGTAAGAAAATTTACGAAAAAATTTACGAAGCTGTTGCTGATGGTGATTTGAACTATCAAATTGAATACTGTCGGACAGCGAATCATTGCTAAGCTCGGTGTAATGCGCTCAATGAGAATGTTCAAATATTAAAAAGCTAGATGGATAAAAAAATGACATAAATAAATATGATCTAAAAGTGTCTCTAAAATACTATTTGTGCTTTGTTTGGTCTGAAACATTAAACAAAGAAACGAATCAAGTCCGATAGTCTATAGCAAACCGGCATTTTTAGGATGGGTTCATTGATAATTTTGTTGCAAAACTTCAAAAATTTTCATTGTCAGAAATTTATCGAAAACTTTGCTTTTCATCCATCAAATCATTTATAAATTTCTAAAAGAATTTGTTTTCATCAGGAATATCGTTGTTTTCGATTTTTCAGATTTTTTTAAAACATAACAGAAAAATAATAAATGAGATACAACGCATAATACCATATCAATAAGATACAATTGCTCAGCTAAGAGTGAATTCATCCAAGTTATTGTTCTCCTCTCGGTTCCCTTTCAACAACATTCCTTTCTCTACTCGAGGAACCCTTCGATTTATGATTAGAGCCATATTTTTTCGAGCCATATATATTTAAAGAAAAGCAGTGCTAGAGATAGATGCATATATTTTGGATCATAGTTATTGTTTATCTGGACTTTCATTCATCATGTAGATGGAGGTTTTCTATTCCTCTCTTTGGATTCGTTTTTAATGTGAAATTCTTTAGGAGTTTTTCCTTTCTTAGCCAGATTGCTATTGTTTTATTTATCAGATTTGTGTCTATTCAGATAGAGGGAAGATAATAGCAACACAAACTGCATTATGTCTATCAATTTAATTTAAGTTCCATTCTGTTCCATTCCAAATTGTTGATTATTTTTCTTATTCGTCGGCATTCAATTCAAAGAACCGACTGCCTAAACAATAAGCTGCCTAAACAATAAACTTTTTGCAAACTTTGTGGTTATGGTGTGGGAAATTTTAAACTGTAGCTTTTTCTTCGGTATATGTATGTTTTCTTTATTTATCTCTTTCCGTTCACTCGATTCCTTTTTTGGAACTCGATTGAGAGATCTACTAAAAAATGTTGTAAAAATGTCGTAATTAATGGGATTTAAGGCATGAAGTTGCTACTCAGTTTGGTAGTTACCGCAGTATTATTTTATTTAACGACGGGTTTAGCAGAACTAAGCGGTTTTCACTGCATGATGCGACACTCGATGAGAATGAATCGACGGATTCATGGACCGCCACAAATAACTGCACCTCCTTTTCAGTTCCAAGTTCTGGATGACAAAGGTCGCGAGGTTCGCTTTTATGAACCTGGCAAAGTCTACACAAGTTTGTATTATTTCATTTCTTTCAATTAAAACCTCTTAACTTCATTTTGTGCATTTTATTCATTAAATTTAACTTTTTCTATTTTTTAGAAAAAGCCGATCTTCTTTTGGTAAGCTTTTGCTAAGATTAGACGTTTTAAGCAACTTTAAAAATCGGAACAAATATTCATAATTCAAATGAATAAATAGTGAGTAGATTTCGAATAATGATGAATGAAAACATAAATACCTTCATTCATAAGAGAAGAATATCATAAGAGAATATCATAAGAGAATTTTTATCATCAATAATGCCGAAAATGCCATTCTCCGAGGAAATTGAAAAATAAATTGGATTTTCCAATTTTAAATTTAAATTGGTTTCAACTTAAAATAAAACTATGCATGCGAAAAAATCTGTTTTTTTAAAGAATTTTTCCTAGCGAATGAAAATGAGTATGGAAATTTCGAAAATAAAAGAAAAAAATTAAAAAGAGAATGTAAAATCAATCAGAGGTTTTTTGTATATCTTTTTGCGAAAAAAATTTGTTTTTTGAAAAATTTTTCGATAATGAAGAATTACTACAAACTTGTTTTCACTGGAAAAATCGCTGTTGCTTATTATTTTTCTAACTCATTGGGCGGAAAATATTTGATTAAATCAGAATTTGTTTTTATCTTGCGAATCCGTCTAAGATCATAAAATCACGTCAAAGACCTTCACCTTCAAACTGTCATCCATTAACAATGGCACATTATTCACAGTTTTCTTGATTGATATGGTGTTCCGGAATCATATGAATCGCCATTTCATTTCATTTCTAGTGGTCATGTACGTACGGATTTTGCTCATTAAATTTGTCTAATGGATGATAATTATCATTTTATCATTTTGATTCGACGCGCGATTTTCAAATTTTTCATTAAAATTATGAAAGAGACAAATATTTTATAATCACGAACTTTTAACTAATTAATAATAATTAAAATAAAACAATAATTAAATAGATATTTTCTTATTTAAGTTATTCAAGTTATTTTCTATTTTATTTTAATTTTTCTTCTTCCTTTGTTCCATCCTATCTTTCTCTCCTTCCCAATTTTCTGTGAAGAATAAATGCTGGACTATATGCTGGACTTAGCGATGAGAAATGAAGTCAAAGTAGTGAGTAATATGAATGAATAAAACAAAATATGTGACAACTTGGTAGCAACTAGTTCAATAATTCGAACGAAAAAATTGTGGATTAGAACATTGGTCCCACAAATGTCGCGCAGCTTCAGTCCATATTCTCTGGTATCTCAAATTAAAATCCAAGTTGAAGTCATAATAGTTAGAAAATCTCGTTAATAGTAATAAGATATTGCCTAATTCGTTCAATTCTTAATGAATTAAGATTATATAATAAATTATATAAATTTTAATTTGTAAATATAAGTCGAGGAGAGGCCAGGATTTAAACGTTGTAGAAAACCCTCGATTTCTGTAAACCCTCGATTAACTAATTTGTTGAATCTAGATGAATAACATAATTCTAAATGTGGACGGACGAATTTAAATATTTTAGTTAACAAATTTTTTGATTTATTTCTAAAATTATCAGGTTTTTAGGTTCAAATTCAAATTTCAAGAAGATTTTTTAAGAATATACCTACAATTTTGGTCGAAGCCATATTATTCATCAGTTAATAGATCATGTCAAATTAACAGAATTATCAAAAGCGATAACAGGGATTGGAACCTTTCGAAACCCCATAAGAACCTTGACACATAAAATTTTAATTTATCTGTCGACAATTTAATTCTTTTGTCCTGTAGCTATATTTTTTAAAATTTTAAATTAAATTTTAATTTTAAATTTTAATTTTTAAATTTTAAATTAAATTTTAATTTTAAATTTTAATTTTTAAATTTTAAATTAAATTCTTCGCTCTGCCATGCGAGAAATAAATTTTACAATCATGCATAAAAAGTAAACTTAAATAATAGACAATATTAGAGAAATAAATATGCATTAAAAGAAGCAAAGAGCTCTGATGCACCAGGTTTAACTAAAATGAAATCAGGCAGAGTCATTAATGGGAACATTTAAGTAACCTGACACCCAGTTAAAGAATTTACCCTTGATGCCAAATTTATTCAGGACTATTATCAGCCTTCTAAGTGAAACTGTCGAAAGCCTCAGCTAAGCCTAAATAAACAGCTGCGATTATTTGACTACGATTAATAAACAATGGCAAATCACAGAGGTTAACTAATAGCTGAGAGGCTGTGGACTTTCGCTTAAGGAAATGTTGGTATAATATTAAATTGTTTAAATCAAAGTAATTGTGGAATTACAAATCTATTGCAAATTAACCTTTCAAGTATCCTGCTCCTTACGCAAATAATGTTAGATGGACGTTAATTGGAGGGATCAAAAGGGTTTCCTAAAGAAAGGAGTCATAAAAATTTCCAAATTTTGGAAATAACTCCATAATCCAATATATCCTTGAAAATCAAATATAGAATTAGTGCCAAAGATATGTTACAAATTTTTCATGGAGAATTTGAATGAAATTCGATTTAATTGATAATTTTAATTGCTTTAGAGAATCGTATACTTAAAATATATACTTAAAATAAAGTGTTTAAAAGTAAAGAAGTGCAAGCATTTGTGCTGGAGGAAAGATTATCGGTAACGGTAAAAAACAGTTAAAAAGAATGTTTAATGATTAAGAGATGAATGTTAACAGTAGAGAATAAAAAGAGAGAATTTATCAATTTATCAATTTAACGCTAACGCTTCTGTCGCTAACTGCCAAGATCGTCTTTTTCAACCAGATAGTAGGCAATAAGTACTGACCAATCAACCAAACATACGATAGCAGACCAGAACCAAAATGAGCACTGGTGATAAATATAAAAATATCAAGAAATATCAAGAAGGAAAATGTGAAGGAAAATGAGAAAGAATAAACTAGAGAAATACTAGAGGAGATAGAAATGCAGAAAATGAACTGGTGCTAGGTAAGAATACACTATAAGGAATACATTTCTAAATTATAAAAAAAGCTTTAACAGATTCCAAGAATAACATCAGAGATCTCTCTCCAAAAAGCACACAGCTAAGATTGCGCAAGGCCTCTAGGAGAAATCCTAGGTTAACGATGACCCATACTATCCACACGAGTTGAGAAAGGAATTTTTTCCTATGAGAATAAAATGGTTCGCTAGATTGTTGAAGCAGAGACCGATAATCTCTGATAGCAGTGTACTTTTTTTTTTAAAAAAATCCTCACAATTACTGGTTAAACTCACTCCGCTACTTGTCGCACTGGACAAATATGCCTCAGTACCTACGCTCCGAATTGAGCAACAATACATCCACTGAGCCATTCTACCTTATAGTGGTGTACTACCTTGCAGATCTATCTAAAATGTACGTGGTGCTTGCCACTTCTCTTTCTATCGTCAAGGGATAGTGTAGCAAAATTTCTTAAATGAACAGGCCATTAGCCAATAATGAACGCTTTTAGAATAAAACCCAGCCAACTATAACTAAAAAGGATGGTACTATTTCTAAATTATATTAATTTTAGTCATTTTCATTTATTTATCTAATTAAACAAAGCAGTAAAGCAATAAACCAAGGCAATAGCAATAATTTGTTGGTGTAGGTCAATAAGTTAAAATAAATAAAAATAAATAAAATAAAATAAATTAAATAAACAATAAACAAATTTAAATGAAATAAAAGTGGAAAATAGAAAAGGAAAGAAGAAATAATATTAACAATAAATTTATAAATTGTTGTAATAAATAAATAAATGAGGTTAAGGTTCCATTTCATTTCTTTTATTCTAATCTCTCTAAATTTTTTAAATTTCACAAGAACCATATTTTACTGATAAACCTTAAGCACATTTTGATAATGATAAAAATGAAAACAATTGTTTATACAAACAAAGGATGTTGAAAATTTATTACCATTCATTTTCCAAAAATATCAGATTTATTACTAGAAAATGAGGAAATAAAAATATTCTTGGATGGGGATATAATGAGATGGGACATATAAATTCATATTGTAACCAAAAAATCATTGGAAAATGCTTTTTTAAATATTTATTGTAGTCCGACTGGTTGGTTTTGTTCATTTACGAGGGCTTCTTCTGCAAAGTCGTTTAACAAATGAGAATGGCTTTCTATTGGGTTCGCTGAAAGGTGGACGCTTTATTGAGAATCGAAACTGGGTGAACTATGGTGTTCGTTTACAAGAATGTGACATGAAAACGTCAACTGCAGATTCGGTTACACATTCCGATGATAGCCGGAAATTTTTAATTCAAGTTCAGTGGACAACCGAGAAAGACATTGGAGCAGTACAATTCATGTAAGTGCATGCTTTCGTAAAGTTTTTCGCTTACGATTTCAAATTATTTGTAGGATTTGAAAAAATTCAGTGATTCAATAAGAAAAAGCATAGCGATGCAGTTGTACAAGTACTGTCTTCTTTTTTCAGAAATCTTTCTAATTTTTCGCTTTCCTTTAAAAATCTTTTAAATCACTGACAACGAAGTTTTCTTGAGCGAATTTCGTTTGTATTAGGTATTTAAGCAAGTAAGTCCATTGTGTTCAATATTTCTGCTTAAACTCGTTGGCTGTTAGTACGGTTAGAAGTTTTTGGCAGCCATTTGGCGATAGAAATGCAAGAATCGTCACCACCACCAGAATTTTTTGTTGATAATTTTTTTACTTTTTTATTTTTAACTACCTGGAGGAGGCACTGATTTTAAATAATAATAATCATTCAGCCATCCTACATCCGGTATTAGGTGATTAAAAAAGCTGCGACTGATTTCAAATGTTGATTATAAATCAAAGCGTCTTATGGCTTTTCTATTCTTATATGATGAACTACATCAGAATTTCGAAAAATATACTTCATAGATTTTTAGGTTTTTTATAAATTATAGAAAATAGAGATTCATAAGAAATTTCTTTGATTGACCAAAATTTTCTTTATATAATCAAAAATTATTTAATTACTTATATCAGTATCCGTTTAACCATTTTTGCAACCTTTGATGTTTTAGCCATCGACAGAAAAATTTATATTAATTTTTCAAATTGTTAAAGAATAAACTTAAGCTTTCATTTTTTTTCGAATAAGGCAAATATCAGTTTTTTAAAAACGGATCCAGCAAATTGGAAATCCAGCAAATTACTTTGGAAAAAGTGCGTAATTACATTCACATTTATATATATTAGTTTGTGTTTAATTATATAAAACTATGTAATCCCAACATTTTTTAAGAGCATTTTTAATACAGGCTAACAATCGCAGAAGAGGACGATGTTTACTGGGAAAGATGGCGACCACGTTCTGGACTTATATTCCCAGCAAGTTGGCAAGGGAAAAGAACAAGGATTATTGAAGAGGTCTTCACCGACGAAAAAGCAGCTATGAAGCTGGCGGGTATTTGATACTGCAAGTAATTTAGTGCTTCCCTTTGTTGATAGCATTTGATGGTGTGTATAAATGGCATATGAAACCTTCACCAAGTTATTTTTTCCATTGAGAATCATGGAAGTGCGAATATATTGTAATTAGAACAACTCGTTTAAAAAATTTCGAAGGTATATGCTAAAAATACGATGAGTGCTATCAACTGGTATATAGTGCGCTAGAAGGTTCCATCATTTAGGGCGTTTGCAAATTTTTGCAATAAATCTTTCCATCAAAAAGATTAATTGTTAGAAATAAACTTCTGTTTCAAATATCAGGGCGATATTGGCGATTAACCTTTATTATTTCCATCTCTCGGCAAAATGTCCGATCCGATAAGCGTGCAGCAAATTTTTATCAACAACAAATCTTTTGTTATTCCTTCTTAGCGCAAGGCTTAAAAACGAGTGTAAATAGTGCAATATTGTATAACTTCGAATCGTTGCCTTTTTATCATTTCGATTTATAAATGCAGGAAGTATAAAATTAGTGAAAACCAATTTTTTCTAATTAGCTTTGAACAATCAAAAAAATTCTATAAAAAATTGAAACTGTAGAAAGAAAAAAAGATGAATTAGGATTACTTCTTTAATGAAAAGTAAATTTAGAAAAATCATATAATGATTATCCACATAAAACGAAAAAAATCAGTTTCTGTCTACAGTTTCAATATTCCAAAATCGATCCGAAATTTGCAATGATTCGAAGTAAAATATCCATTAATTCTTGAACGATACCCTTATATTGATTGTTCAGATTATGATATTGGGCAATAAATATTTTGTTTTTCTTGTGACTTCGTATTGCATAATATAGGGGTATTGTTCAAGGATATTGAATTCATGGACAAACGACTACATCCAATCCAATTTAAATGTTGGGGATAAGCAAAAATTTAGATAAATCCGTATACTTATGTTTTAAATAGTTGGTTAAATTGGTTATAAAGCGACATGAGTGGCATTCTACCTTTCGAATTTAATTAGAAGACAAAGATATATAAAGTTAACGGAGTTGAGAAATTCCGATTGCTTTTTTGCGAAAAGCTAACGAGCCAACTTTTTGTTCTTTCGATTGTGCATTGCTTTCTTAAAAAAATATAAAATTATTAAAGTGAGTTTAAGGTGAGTTAAGCAATTTATTATATATAATTGCAATGTGGATGCAATGAATTGTTCCAAGATTTTTCTCTATTCTCGGGATATCATTTAATACTTTACTTTGGTACTATATAATACTTTGGTACTGAACTTTCTCAATCCTTTTCGCTCAATCCAAGAATGAATTCGAATCGCATCTGAAGAGATTTCTCCAAACGAATGATTCTTTTATAGAATCGAAACGAAAATTCGATGAACAATTGCACAATCAACTAGAAATTCGTCAAAAATCAAATGAAAATAGAAAGAAACTTCAGGAAACAAATTCTGTAAACTTAATTGAGAATAAGAGTGGTGGAGGAGATACGACAATATCGGGGATTGTCAAAAAGCAGCAGTAAGAAAATTTATTATATTTTAAATAACTTATAGATATCGGTAAATTTAATACCATTTGCAGTCACAACGCTTGAAATAATGAAAATTTCTTATTATTTATGGATTTTACCGGATATTTGAGAAAAATTAACAAAAGCGATAATTTTTATGATGTGAGAAGTGAATTGATTTATTATAATTTGATTCACACTTTAGACTTGAGAACTCGATAAATCAGATGCAAAACACTGCAACACCGACTATTCGTTTTCAAGAAGATGGGCTACGATATTTATTTCAGGATGCCAAGACTGCAGTAATCAGTTCTTCAGCTATAAAAGATCTGCGGCACGGTCGATACTCTAGCGAACCTTTAGACTCGAAAAATGCAGCTACGATAATTAGAGGTACTTAAATTTATTTCGTGCTTATGTCCTTAAAATCGCGACCGCCATTTGATAGCCAGATAGCCAGACTATTAAAAACAGAATTGACGGAAATCTTTAAAATAGTGTTCATTATTAATCGGTTGAAGCTGTGTTATTTCTTGATCGTTGAGTATTGGTGAAGATATATGCAAAATTTTTTCAAATCATGATTAAAAAGTCAAAGAAATTAGAGAATTTAGTCATTCTTAATAATTTGCAGAATGTTATAATTCAATTAATATTATTTGCTTACTATCTGCTCTCACACGTTTCATAATTCTATTGCTTCGAGCGGTGAAATGCAACCATTTTAGGATGTCGATCAAACAGTTGTGAGAATGGTGGTGTATGCAGCTCGGACCACAAAGATCCAGAAAAATTCTCTTGTACTTGCAAGAAAGGATGGACGGGGAGGAAGTGTGAAAGTAAGCTTCGTTTATTTTATGGATCTTGATACTCCTATAGCTTGATCAGCGAAGTAGGTGGCAAAATCTATACATGACTCATAAAAAATAAAAAACGTAAATGATCTGTACAGCTTTGTTGGAGGAGGAGAGGGGATATGTCGTGCACGAAATTAAATTAATATTTTATGATATTAAAGAAATGATAAACCGAGCATTTCGAATAATGCATAATATTTATTATTAACATAATAATTATAATAATTTAAAAAATCTCAGAAAAAGATTTCTGCATCGAAAATAAATGTGCCAGTGGTACATGCATTAATCAGAAGGATTCATATTTCTGTGCTTGTTTGCCAAATTTTGCAGGAAAATTATGTTCAAATAAATCATTTATGCAAAATCTCAATTAGAATGCAAATTATTTTGCCGTTACTTGTCAATCTGCTAAAAAAGATTATGAAAATTCTTTATCATAAAATTTATCAGCAAATTTTTCAAATTACATGGGACTGCGGCGATCATTTTTGTGAGAGAAATGGCACTTGTATAGAAAGAGCAAATGGAGTACTCGGATGCATATGTCCGCCTGGATCTAAAGGGAAAAAGTGCGAAAAAGGTTTGATAAAATTTAAAACACTTGGAACGCTTTTCATGTTCTATACATTTTCTTCTAACATAGCAAACATAATCAGTGAATTGGTTGGCTTTGATTTTGATTTTAGATAACGAATGAACTGAGAATCGGCAAAAAATCTATAGGAGTTGCCTAAATGCTCCTTCTATTGAAAAGACTCAAACTTAATTCTTTTCAGATTTATAAATTTTAAGAATAATTTTTATAGAAATTGACGAATGCAGTTTCAAACGTTGTATGAATAGCGAAAAATGTATCGACAAATGGAATGATTATAAATGTATATGTTTGCCAGGATGGATGGGAAAAAACTGCGATCGTAAGTGATGAATAAAGCTTTTGCTTTTTTCATCCTTTCTTTTTGGCAGATTATAAACCATAAGGAGTGAAAAATTTTTTATTCTCTTTAGATCTTTTTTTTAAGGACCGTGCCAAGATATCTACCGAAGTTGCAACTTCTGGAAACGTCATGGTCAATGTGAGCTCATGCGTTCTCACACGGATCTGTTTGATCTTAACTGTGCAGTGTCCTGTAATCAATGCACTTATTTGAACTCCACAAGTGAATTTTTCGCTTTCCTCGTATTTTCATCTCCTAAATTCTATTCAAAAAATAAAAATATTAAATATTAAATAAAAATAATAACATAGCCATTATCAATTTAGTATAATCATTAATTTTTATTATCAAAGAATAAGGATAAAAATTGCAAAACAAATGTCATAAAAATTTAAAAGAAAATTAATGAGAATCAAATAAAATATAAACAGAAATAAAAATTAATAAGAAAATCAATAAACTAAAAATAATAAAAATTAAAAAAGATTTCCTAAAATCAGTAAAGATATTAACTAAAGATAATATTTTTGCAATGATTTTGCAATGATTTTAGTTCTAACGCACAGGCCCCTCGCCTCAAACTTACTTCCCCTCGCTTGGCTATTGGGACATTGGAAAGTCGAAGTAAACGGTATGATTCCTTGTTTTCTTTTTTTTAAATCAAAATAATAATTATTAAATTGTTTGATTGGTTAAATCATGAAACTTGGTTACAGAATTATTCTTACAGTCCTTTTAATTATCAATTACTAAATCATCAATAATTTTGAGGCACAAAAAACCGCTCCGTAGATTATACTACAGATTTTAATAGCAGTGGCTATGTAGAAATCCTGCAGATAACCGTTGCTGATGTTTTAATGTTTGGCAAGCCTTTTATAAATTATACGTGAGTTTTTTGCGTATTATGATGACCATGTTTCTTTTACGACATTTTTCAGTAACTTGTCGAGTCATTTCATTTCCTTAGCATGTATAATTCCATTATCTAGCAGTAATTTCTGTTGTTAATGATATATTGAATAGCACTTAAATCAGCCAATTCGAAAAGGATTTCTTCACCTTGTTTGACCGCAGTTCATTCAATTTTAACAATACTTCATTCAGTTCATTCAAATAAATCCTCGGTTCATTAATGGTCGATTTTGTTTTTTATATTGTTTCATCCAAGTGTGTTTTAAATATTTGAGCGAATTGGTAAATGAACGGATGAAAAGGAAACAGAAGAAAATGGGCCTTCGATATGACTGCAATTAGCTGTTCATCTTCCTCAATTTTAATTTAATTAACACATTTTCAGAATTATTTTTATGGAATATAGAAAATTATAGAATAAACATTGTTAAAATTAAATGGATCATTGTTTAAAAAAGACTGCGAATAACTTTTATGGCATTTAATCTATGAATTTAGCATTTACAAATATTCTTTTGAACATTCTAAATTGTTTAAATACATTTATCTACACAAATTATTTTCTCAAAGAATATTTTTAAGAATTAATTTTATAAATTTTGGCAATAAAAAGCTGTGAAATTGAAGTTCAATAGCGGCTAATAAAGATGATTTATCGGACCAGCACATCCAATATGGCTTCGTCACCACGGGGTACACTGGCGATCAGTTTGAAGCAGCTGCTTTGACAACGGTCAGCAATGAAGGTAAAAAACCAAATAATTTGCGACAATTACTATTTCACTCGATAATCCATTTCCGAAATAATAGTTGCAATAGTTTTATATATTCAGTTTCAGGTCAATTTTTACTTTTTACTTTTCTTTTAGATTGAGTTTTTTAAAAATAATTACCATTCGAACTAAAATTGTGTGAAACATTTTGCAAGAATTTTTTAAATATCATCGTCGCATATTGCGCAAATTCATTGCTACGTTAATTTTTTATCAAAGAACGCGAACTGAATAATAAAATGTTTTTTCCACGAAAATGCTCACAAATATTAAAAGTATCTTATAGGTTTGGCAATGATCGAAGAAGGTAAAATTAGAAAAGAATCCGTCGTACTCTATCGGCGTTTCAAAACAGCATATCCAACTGCTAGCGCTCTGGTACCATCAGAGGTAACGTGGCCATTGTTCATCGCCAAACATCGGCTAGCTACTGTTCACTTCCTTGCTCTTGCAGCCATACCTTCTCATCCGACTGACCCAACTTCACCAAGCTCATTTTTATTTTTTTTACTTTTTCGACCAAATTCACAATTTTGCAAGAAAAAAAGCGCTTTAACGATGAAATTTTATTAAAGAATGCCTTTCGAGTGGTGTTTTGCTTGAACTGAGAGGATTGAGTTTTTTTCCGGTCCTTTACAGTGGATCTGTACCCGGAAAAGAAATCTGTCTAATCGCTGGACGTCCACCATAAACTCGAAATGAGATAATACCCACGATAATGATGTGGAACGCTATTGAGAACATATAACTCCACTAAAATATTTTTACTCGATGGTGACTCAGTCTCATGTTGGTTCGAAAAAATAGATTGCATGAGTGCGAATGCCAGCACTTGGCAAATACGCTGTTAAACTGAAATCCGCCCTAAATCGCAATTTCGTCTGATTCTATGATTCTAAGCAAAGGAACCTCATACCAATGGTGGGTTCGATCAGCCGAACCAGAAATAATAAATATACCCTTAATAATTACATTTCGTGTTTAAGATGCGCCGTAGTTTCACTCGAAGCGATGATCGTTTAATCCAAACGATAAGCAAAAAGGATCCGAAAGGCAGACTTCGACAGGTTGTAAAAAGATATTCGCTCGTGGAACGCATCGAATACCTATAAAAGAAAATCGGCTCACGAATTCTCCTTTAAAAATACCGCGTTTTTGAACCAAATGATCATATAAATGAGATATTTTCGAGATTTACTCTTATCCGCTGGGTTTCATTTTCCACTTAATCTACTTTCAAATTTTTGAATTTTGCAATAATATTGGCGCTTTCATTGTTTTTTATTTTCATTTTTTATATTTAATAAAGAAATAAAAAAGAATTTGAAGTTTTCTAATTCTAAAAACGGTTTATGCCAATTTTCCAATTTTTTAAATGTATTTAACTTTTTATTTGTCGCTTCTTTAAATTGAGGGTTGAACCCATTCATAGCTTCTTCGATAATCCCTAAAATTTTTTGCAAACTTCTTGAGGTAAGTTCTCTTTCATTAAGATGCGATGGTGTAGATTTTGAAAGCCAGGAAACAATATTTGTGCTCGTATTTTCGCCAAATTATAGTGGGGAATTTCCACGCAATCCTCTTGGTGATATGCTTTAATACATATAAGAAAGATTCAAATAAAACAGTGGATACAACAACAAAATAAAAAATTTTTTTATAAAAACAATAATACAATAAGAAAATAAGAAAGCAAACAATTTTTTTTTTTGAAATTCAAAGTGAAAGTTTTTGAAATTAAAACAGTGAATTGTTAAATTTGAAATAAAAAGGAGGAAAAAAAATCAAAAAAATCATTCACCATTCAATTTTAACCGTTTTTTCGAAATACGGTAAGGTTTCGCGGCATCTATTTTTCTTTTCCTAGCAGATGTCTTCATTTTATTTCTTTTTTGCTTTCGTAAAGCACCAAGAATTGGGTCTGTGACGGTCTCTTCCTGAAATAATAAATAAATTCGATAATAAATTCAATTCAATTTTCCAAATTATAATAAATTAATGAGCATATTATTATTGTAACAATGTGACTGAAACTTTTCTGCTTTTATGCAAATTTGACTTTGAAAGAATGAAGCATCTCGCAAGGGAAAATTTTATCTTTCTCGGCAGATTATGTGAATTAAATGCAAAAAAAAATTACTTTTTGTTTTCTCTTCCTCGATTCGTATTTCAATGCCGATTTTTTTTGACATTCATTCAGTTTTGTTGTGAACAATTCCTCTCCTAGCTTTGATTTAAATATTTCAGCAACTTCAGAAGCAGTACCTTGTAATTCTTCTATATCTGTAATAGTTTTAAAGAACAAAAACGAAAAAAATTCAAATTCAAATTAACTGGGCGAAAGGAACAAATTTATTTTAAACACTTACTTTTACCAGATTTTCCTTGCATTTCTCTATAAAGTAAAGGTAGAAAAATTTCAACAATCACATCAATATGTACACGATCCGCTTTAAGCAATAAAACAGCTGCTAATTTAAATATGCTCAGACGCTGAAAATTTTAGAATTTCTAAAAGAAAAATTTAAACAGTTACAAAAAGATAAGGAAAGAACAGATCCTATTTTGAAAAATTGGCCAGATTTAAAAAACCTTAATCGCTTTATTCGGCTGACGAACAATTTCATATTTACAAATGGAACTAAGACGATGGCACATCCATTTAACATCATCATTTGCTGTTAGCGCACTCGCTAAAGAAACGATATTTTTTGTGGCCTATGAATAAAATTTAATTATTTTGCGAAATAATTTAAACTTCTTCCAGGACCGAAAAATCTTTTTTAAAAATCTTTTTTTTACGAAAAATCTAATCAAAATAAAAGTAAAAATATTTCGGACAATATTCAATCGAATCGTAACCTGATCAGCCATTGCATCATTTTGGATTCTATATTTTAGTTGCCAACATGTCCATTCAATTAATTCTCGTAAAGATGGATCCAATAATGGGAATCGTTCATTGAATAATGAGAAAAGCTGTCCACTCAAGCATAATACTGATGTTTGTATTTGTAAAAAATCAAGGTTTTTTCCAATTAAAACCATTTCTTCTAAATGAAGCAAACTGGAAAACTGGATCCAGACAAGATATTTTATAACTCAAGAGATAAAAAAAGAAACAAAATAAACCAAGAACAATTTCTGATAAACATACTCAATATTGAACTTAAGAGACCATCATCGATATATTTTCGACTGCTCACTGGACAATTAAGAAGAATGGAATTAAAAGAATCCAATATACGCGTTAAGTTCTTCTCTGTACACTTCTTCAAGAAACTATATTTTAAAACGTCAACAATAAGCCGATAAATTTCAGCTTTACTGTTAAAAAAAACTTCTCCTTTTGATTCAGCGAACTGAACAAATATTTGCATTGCAATACTTCTTCGCGAATCCTAAAATAACGAATATTATCAGATTTATTTCCTTTCCTTTAAATACTAAATAGGACAGCTCATTGTTAACAAATGTTCAGAAAAATAATTTTTTGTAAAATCATTTGAAACCTTAATAAGACCAAAGAAAAAAATTCAGAAAAATTTTTATTTCGAAATGAAACATTTTTTGATTCCAGCCAATCTCTCGAAGCCAAATATAGATCATTAAGTTTGGAATCAGATACTACTGATAATAATCGCTTTATCGCTAGAGCAACTAATTTGTTGCAAATTTCGCTCTCTTCATTCACTAATCGGATAGCCATTTTCATAAACGATACAATACAACAATCATCCACATCCGTCTGAAGAATTATTACGAATTCAAAAATATTTTGAAATTATCTTTTCAATATTTAATTCGCCACTTATTAACTGTAACAAACTAAAATTAAAATTTTTAAAAAAAAAATTGAAAAAATAAAGCAAAATAATTCATTGAAAACACCTGAGGAAGAGTTTCAAAAAGTATATTTAGCATCTCTATGGCCGATATCCGACCATCTTCATATTCATATTCTAATTGATTTGAAAAAAAGTCTGTATAGATTTTCGATTTCTTACTTTGTGGATGGTTGCCGATAAACTGAGATAATACCTGCAAAACAACAAAAATATATGCCATGTGATACAACACAATCCAACTTACGAATGAAGAAGCGTCAGAATTTTAAGATTTTATTACATCAAGACATCGCAATTTCCCTAATAAAATATAAAAAATGAATGCAAAAAAATGACCTGCCGACATTGGGTTCTAATGTGAGAAATTTCTGATGTAACGCAAAGTTCAGACAAATACTTAATTAAGCTTGGAATCTGAAAAATTTTATCAGTCACAATCACTATCAGTATCATCATATTCACTGCACAGTTCTCACATTTAAATAGATATATTATAAGAAAAACCTTCTGATTAGTAAGTTTCCGAGAAATGATCGACTTGATAAGTGAAAAAGCTGTTGCCTGTTTTTGATTATCAACAATATCCGTCTCAATATACGCTAAGAGAATTTGTAAACGTTCCTTTGATAATACGAGAGTCGGTGCATCTTTGATTACAATGGCAAAAATCTTAAAGATTCTACAAATATGCGAACTTTTCTTTTTTCTTCAAAATTTTAGCATTCAAAATACCATAAAATGGGAAATAAAAAGTAAGAATAAATGAAAAAATGGGAGAAGCGATAACCCTAAAAAGCAACTGATTAAGTTCCAGACTGACACCTTTATTACTAGCAGCACCAGCTATAGCATATTCTGATAATAAGACGAACATACAATTCATAAAAGCTTCTATTGTGATACGAATTGACGGCAGTGGAAATTTTAACAATGATAAATAACACCGTAAACTATTAATAACTATCTGTAAGAAAAAATAAGTAGATAAAAATTTAGAAGACGTGTTAGCGTAAAAAGAAATAGTTTAAGACCTAATTTTAAAAAAAAGACCTAAATAAAGTAAAATTAATGTGGGCTCTTTTAGAAAGCCTGTAAAATAAAAATTTTATAGAATTTTATAGAAAAATTTTATAATTTAATAAATAAACCTTATCATATTTGAACAACAAACATTGCTGAATAATATTGATGAAGGGATCAAGTTTTGCAATATCTTCATCCTTTTCTGAATCGAATTTCCCTGATTTTACGCATAATGACAACAAATACAAAGCAAATTCTATGAATAAGGATGATCTGCTTTTTACGGAAATCTTTACTACCACTCCGATTCTAAATTCAAAAAAAGATAATTTAATTCCAAAAAATCGCTTTTCCTGTAGAAAAGAATTCCCAGCACAACCAAGCATCACGAAAGATTTCATTCTTTCGTGACCCTTTATAAATGAATGACCGGATGAGAAAAAATTATTATGAATGGAAAATTTGGTAAAAAACTGATTACCTTGTCGGTTCCTTTTCCAATAGGAGACAATTTTTTTCTCTTCTTCCCAGTGAATCTTCATTTCGCGTTGCGCCTAATTCATTCGTCATGTCACAAATATAATCTTTTAATGTTTGAAATATAAAAATTAATAAAACTGGCGGATCTATTGCACGATTAGAATTCAACCCAATGGCAAAATTTTTTAGTAAACGTCCGATTTTTTTTACTGCAGTCGAAGACGGATGATTTTCACATATCTTAATGGTGAAAAAATTAAAAGTAGTGAGAAAAAAATAAAAATGATGACTAAAGAAGAAAACTTTATTTAAAATTAATATTGATCAAAAAGAAACTAACTTCTTTTAGTGGTGCTAAAACCTTGCCGAGCAAAGCAGTACTAATAAAGCGACCCAACAATATATATGTTTCATAAGTACGACCAGATTTGGCTTCTGGCACATTCTTTATGATAGTATTGACTCCTTTTTCATCTGCTATATCACCAAAAAGATCCATATTACATACCTTAAAAATACTCAGCAGTGGGAAATGATAGGAAAATTAGTGGCTTTCATATTCATATTTTAATAGAAGCCTCCATAAAAACTAACCTCGATAACATTATCAAGACAAGGATCTAAATCACCTGGATTTAAAAAAGGTTCCATTGCATATATTATAGCATGGATTGAGAAAATCATTACGTGCGTCTAAAAATTTTAAAAAATTAGTCAATTATGAAGTGCAAGAAATATTGCAAAATTATTGTAAATTTAAGGGAATATTTAGTTCGCCATAAAAAAAAATGCAAGTAAATTAAATTTTAAATTATTTTAAATTAAATCTATAAATTTTCGTAAAATTATGAATTAAATATATATATATATATATTCGTAAATCATCATGAATCATCATCATGAACATCACAAAAAAACAAGGCTGACATTATCAAATTTATATGAATCCTCTAAAATTACGACAATGAACCAAATAGAAATATCAAAAAGATGAACTATTCATATTCGCTTAATAAAAAAGAAAAAAATTTAGAAGTTTTCTATATAGGCAACTTTTTGGTGAATGAAATGGTTAGAAAATTAATCTCATTTCTTTAACATTATACAACAAGGATAAGTAACATAACATAACATAATTTTGATAAAAAAAATGTTGAAAAATCACCTGATAACCCTTTTTCAAATTTAATTTAATTTCTTTAATGATAAAGGGCAAATATTTCGAACCAAGCGTTTCACAAATATTCGTTATTATTTTTCGAGCTGATTCTCGAATATTTATAGATCTTGACATCAGTAAAGAACACAATTTAAGAATAATTCTGTAATAAAATAACAAAGAAAAATGGCCGTAAAACATAAATTGCCGTAAATCATGGGATTTCAGATCTGTTCTGACTATGAAAGAAATTGTGAAAAGGAATAATAAAAACAGAAAACAAAAATAAAAAAATTACCCGTGCAAGTTTTCATCCAATATTTTTTGAGGCAATTTCAGCAAGAGTTTTACGGTGGCTAATGCTATTGGGGCTCTGGTGATAGCATCGTCTTCACTGTAATATTTCCCTTGGCCAGCTTTTCGGTGAGCAAGAAGATCCTGGAACAATTTTAAAATCCATTTCAAATATTTCTAATAAATTTATATATTCAAATACATATGTCCTAACATTAAGAACTTCTTTTGTAGAAAAAAATAAGGAAATGAAAAGCAGCCTTAAAGAAGAATTAATAAATGTTAACCTTGCCAGTAGCACAGTCTCTTAAACGAGGTATAAGATAAGTAACAATTTTTTTACTCATCGACGAAATTGCGCCATTCAAATCATTTGCTTGTGATGTTTCACCGTTTTCGCAAGCATTATTGTTATTATTATTATTAATAAAATCTTTTTCGATCGCGTTAGAATTTTTTTTACTTTCTTCGTCCAAAGTGATATCAAAGTGAAAAGCATCGATAATCGCAACAATTATTCTAAATAATTATTGTTAACAATAGGTGCAAGTTGTAAGAAGTTAATTAAGATTAGAATTATTGTAATCTTAATTTGACATCAAAATTTCGAAAAACTCGAATTACCTTATTATAGCTTTTCGATTAATATTCTCCTTGGAAATTTGCTTGATATAAAATTCTAATATCGTATAATACCTGAAAAAGAACTGAATAAAAATTTCGCTGATAATTTCCAACCTTCTCACACTTAGATTACCTCAAGTCTATCAACGTCGATATAAATTGTGCTTTAACTAATTATATTACCATTAATTTTGAATCAAAAATGCTCTTCAAATGAAAAGCGAAAGAAACCTTTTCCATGGAGCTAAACGCATTATATAAGATAATAAACGAATTGCTTCATCGCTTAGCGCAGAAGTTTTACTCGTGAAATCGAGCACATAAGGTCGAAGAAGCGGAAGCATAAAACGAAGCAAAATTTCGAATGGCATATTTATCTTAAAAATATTTATCTTAAAAATAATTTTTACTTTTTATAAAAATTTTAATTAAAATAAAAGAAACTTTGTTTTTTCGAAATGCTTCAAAGCTTCAAAATAAAAAATATAAAATACATAAAAATATAAAAATAAATAAATATATGTATATATATACACATTATATACACATATAATAAAAAAAAATTAGCCTTATTGTGTTCTAAACTATCAGTCAAATGACGGAAAGCTCGTTGTCGTCGATGAATTTGTAAATGAACAATATTTTCAAAGAAATCAAGTTCGACATCACTGTGAGATAAATATTGCAAATATTTTAACTGATGATGATTGGGAAAGCTATTTATCAAGGCAACTAAGAGCGGAATAAACTCGTGACGGACCACCTAAAAAATGATTATTTGTATTAAATAAATAAATAACCAAAATTATCTTTTTCAAACAAAATGTGCTCATCATAAGAGATCAAAAAAAAAAATTTAAATTACCTCTTTCTCTGAATTAAGGCCTTTAAGTATTAAGGGAATAAAATGTTTCTCCAAAATTTCTATTTTCATCTCATCGTCAAATGGCCCTTTACTCATATAGTTGAATAAATGTCGAAAATTAGTTGAAACTGCAGATTTAAGAGCGATATCAGCCATCTTAATAATGTTTAAACAAACTATGATGAAAGTTTAGGTTTTAGGTTTTAAGATTCTTTAAAATTCATTTATATAATCCGCTCCTAGCGTCTTGTAAAGTTGGTATTTTCTTATTGTATTATTCTTATTTTCTTATAAGTTTGCATTAATAAATTAACCAAATCTATTTTCGAAATTGTAAATGACCGTTTAAAATTTTTTTTTCCGTGGTTCATTAATTTAATTTAATTAATTCACATAAATTATATTTTAGCTTTTTTCAAAATAGCAAAACTAAGAGAACAAAATAAAATTAATTCATAATTTATCGAGAAATACTTACAGTCAATGTGAAAAAATGGTTGTGGGAAAAAATTTCGATTAACGCCAAGTCAACGCGCTCTTGAGATAACCAAACCTGAAATATCTTTTGGTTAGAATCTTCAAATTTTGACTGTATTTTGCAGGATTTTATGAATTTATACAGCAAATATGTTCTTGAAATTTTATTATAAGTATGAATAAACTTACCTATTTTAGATAAGATAAAAAATTAAGCAAAATCTGGAACTAAGACCTGATTAAGATTTATATATGCATTATGTCTACGATCATAATCTGGTTCATCAATTTTTCTCCTATCCCAAGCATTTAAATCTGAAACATAAGATAAAAGACGAGAAGTCTGAAGCTCATTGTCATGAATTTTCAACGCTATTGCATCCGTCACCAAAGACAAGCTTTCACGGCAATTACGAGACTTCACAGAGGAGTATAAATGAGCCAAAGACCTAGAATACAATTTAATCCCTTTTCAAATTTTATAAAATATAAATCACAACAGATTACTCGTTCAGAAACAAAATTCATCATAAAATTCATAGCGATTTTAAAGATCAATATTGAATTAGAAGACTAAGCTAAAATGGAGAAAGAAGAAAACTAAACAAAAATATAAATCACATACGACAGGAAAATTCGTGGATTCTCGAGTGATGGAATTAAGCGAGTAATTGTTGACATTAACGTCAAAAAAGTATCCTCATTAATACGATATGTTTCGATATTTGCCAATAAAACTGCTACAAAACGTTTGCCTATCGTCCCATCTGACACAAAGGAACCTAATCTGAATAAAAAACCATTTTACATTTGCATCTAATAGTAAAAATGAAAAAACCATCAAATACTTATTAAGAATCTCGATAAATTTAGCTTCGATTCTTTTTTTTTCGCCAGGCGCAGGCAGAGAAAGCACAATAAACTGCAGCAATTTAGGCAATTCAGCCAAAAGCATACATGTACCAAGATTCACTCCTGCAATATTAAATTTGCAAAAGAATTTTTAGAAAATTAAAAGTCACCAAGTGATATGGAGATATATATTATCAATATATCGATACCTCTGTCAAAAACCATAAAAAACAAAAAAAATAAAAAGATTACCTTTTATACGAGAGACATTCACCAAATCAAGCCCTTCCGGCACTTCCATTTGCTTCTCGTCGGCAAAATTCAAAAGATTTAACAAACTTTTGACAATTAATTTCCGTGCAATTGCATTCGTTGATTTCGACAATGCAGTATTACAAATGATTGATAATGGTGTTTGATCTGATGAAATACGCACTTGCAGCAAATAAAATAACCTGAAAAATATCTGAATTTAATCAAGGAGAAATAAAGAACCATGTAAAAACATCCCAATATAAAGAAATTAGTTATCATATCATATCAATTATTAACTAACAACGGTGTCTGCGTCCATGAGAAAAACAAACGCAATATACCAAGAGGTGCGATAACACCATTATGATTAACATCATTATTATCACTAGTGGCATTACAATATGGACTAATATAGTAGTTGAAAATGGAAACGATTTCATCAAGAGTGTATTTTCGATTTTGAAATGCGTGGAATATCTGCAAAAAAAAAAAAAAATTATTATATAATTGTAGAATTCACTGGAATGATAAACAATAATGCAAATGGTGGTGACTGACTTCCACCTCTAATCTCGAGATTTTCTAGCGAAAGAGTTTTACCTCGGTCAGTGGAATTACAAAGTCAAATTATAAATAATATGCGCTACTATGACAAAAATCCAAACAGATTTCAGGATAAAATTTTTTTAAACGAGAATAGGAATTTGGATTTCCATTTCGTTTAATTCGTGTGCTTGGAAAATTTTCAAAATTAAAAAAAAAATTCCCTTCTTCTTAACGACATCTCTTATTTTTCATGGCTTTCAACGAAAGAATAATTTAAAGAAGAATTCTCCAAAAAGAAAGCCTCTTGGATGAAATTATGTTTCACATTTCGTCCATTAAATTCTTCTATCTCATTATTTACACATATCTTTATTAAAGTAAACTAAATTTAGTCAAATAAATTTTTTCTCTCCTCCCTTTTGAAATTTTCTCGATCAGACAGTGCCATCAATATTTCATACGCTAATACCATTTTTCTGCTTCATTTCATATTTCGATCTAATTTCAATATGATGATTTCCATGTTATATATTGCAATTTTTCTTAAGAGTCCTCACCATTACTGGTAAAACTCATTTCACTGGCCTGTGACAAAAATCCAAACAGATTTCAGGATAAAATTTTTTTAAACGAAAATAGGAATTTGGATTTCCATTTCGTGTACTTGGAAAATTTTCAAAATTAAAAAAAATTCCCTTCATCTTAACGATCACATCACTGGGCAAATATGCCAGAGAGTGTCATTGCGACAGAAGCACAGGTGAATCGCCAGCATCATCCGGATTTTTGGACAGGTTTACTCCTGCATAGAATATAACTTCAACATCAGCGCTCCAAATTTAGCAACAATCCAGTAAGCCATCCTATCCACGTTATATAATATATATTATATTTGCCTTAAGCTTACACAAAATATTACTATTTTAAAACCAAATTATCCTTCAAATCCAATTTCAGCCAAATAGTATAAGCGTTGTTCAAAAATGGAATTAAGAGTTGTTCAAAAATCTAGAATCAATAACAAAATATTAACCTCTCTAAAGCGTCGAGACACATCCCTTCTTAGATTTTTCAAAATTTTAAGATTGTATTCACTGATTCTATGATGTTGTTCAAAAGCAAGCCGCAAAAGTACCGAAATAGCTATACAAAGACGATAAATAATTAATTGCTGTTGAGCTCCAAGCGATGGTGACAATTTGTTAACAATATGCGAGATGCTTGCTAATGACCTAAAATTAAAATATTATCAAAAGAAACTGGATCGAATCTGATTCGATCAAATTTTTAGTTCTTTTCCAGTCGCAAAATGACAGCCTCGATCAGATCAAAAAGAATAATACGGGGTAAATTTGTGCCGTTGACAGGAGTAAATCCACCATGAAAAGTAAAATCATCACATATGTTTCTACCTCCAAGTGATTCTACGATAAATAGAACAACGCATATATCCAAAATTTAAAATCTAATAAAAAAAATGAATTTGATTTTGTTTAAAAATTATAAATGGGAAAAAGACCTTGGAATATGATTTACTTTTTATTTTTATGACTTAGAAAATTCTTCGAATATTTCGTCGAAAATTTTCTTAGATTCTTTCTGTCTATAAATATATGTTATATTTATGCTAAAAATGTTATATATATTTTAAAAAAGCAAAAAGATCGCATGGTTCGAGTAAAATCAATGAATTTTCTTCAATTTAATAGCCTTCTTTTTTTCATTTAAGTAAATCGACAGATCAAATTTCTTCCTCGATTGGATTATTTCTTAGGCATTGCAAGCAATTTCAACAAAAAACTGATAACTGATCAGTGAAGTGAATCTTACACAGTTTTTTCCACACATCAGTTGGATTGGGTTCAACGATGACCATTTTCACTTAATGAATCATTAAATGATGAAAATTAAGCGTTTTTGCTGCCTATAAACCATTCAGCTTTTGTCAAAAAAATGTAAATTAAAGGTCGAATTACAAAAACAAATTCTGCGTGAAAGGTGAGGAATTTCTTTCCACTTTTTTCAGCTATCTTTTACACCGAAACTTCTTAAATTTCCGTTTATAAAATTGAAGAGAGGCAAATGAAGAATGCAAGAAAAGCAACAACTGTGATCTTAATCCGCCCGTTCGATAACGAGCAAATGTCGATTTCTACAAACAAATATTTTAAAATTATTTAAATCCCCCCCCCCCCCCCCCCCCCCCCACCCCCTTCCCACTTTTCATCTCCATTCAAAAGATTTTTTTACCAAATTATTTAAATAAATTCAATTAAATTTAACCTAACAGAAATAAAATGCAAATATATGAAACCTTACAACCGTGCTTAGTTGCATAAAAATTAAATTATGAAAAAAAACGGATAAATCGACCTTTCGATTTACGAAAACAAATAAAATTTTCTTAGTGCTCTAGAGATGAGGTGATTGTATATTAAATAATCACCACCACCAATAAAGAGCAGCACCAAAACAGTAATAATATGGTACCAAAGCCGATCTACTGGAACTATAATTTATATTACAATAGAAGTGGTAAGATAATTCCGAAAGACAGGCAATAGAAAAGTTTAGGGAAACTGCCGAAGGGCGTAAACTTCTTCCAACAACCTTCCTTCTTTTCTTCTAATAATTGCTATTATTCAATATTAAAAAGAAAAGATGTATTAGCTGATCGGCGAAAACTATTTATTCTCTTTCTCCCCTTCTTCTTATAAATTTTTTCTCCTTCTAAATGAATACGAATAAATTGTCAATTAATGCAACAATAATAATTCAAGCGCTAGTTTATTTATTTTTTTTATTTATTTTCTTTTATTTAATTTAACTGACAAATCAGAAGCAATTTTTTTAAAATTCAATCCATATATTTATTTTCGACAAATTTCAAACGAATAATATTTTCAAGAATCTATCAAAATATTTTTTTATATTATTTAGCTTAAATTATTTTTCTTTATCTTCTCAGAAGCTGAAAAGCTACAAAACTATTTCTCGTTTGGCAGACTTTTAACTACTTGAGACGACTTTTTGCCAGACAGTCGCTTGGGAATTATGTCGAAGAACATTTGCCTGTAGCCACCTAATGACGAGTTTAAGCTGCACAACCGAAACCGAAACTGTTCCTTTTTCTTCAGTTGAAGCAACTGCTTTATTAAATACTTGATTAAATTAATTAATATCCTTTTCCATTCACAAATAGCCCTATATATTGAGTTTTCAGAAAATATTTGTTTCTTAAAAAATGTATTCAAATTACCATCTCTTATTTGCGCAGAATATATTGCGGTACCGTACAGCTGCCAAAGAATCATTCGTATCTCAATGTACCTTTCTTCACTAGTACCTTCAATGCTAATATCATCCTAATAGTCTTCTCTACATTTTCTAGGCTTAAACTTGAAACAGACCATGCTGTTAGAAGATGCTCATCCTTTTTATCTTATAATCGAAGATCATTCTTACTAGTATATTATTTAACAATATTCCCAATATGAAAGGAATTAAAAACTTATGAAAGGCTAAATGGCCCGTTTTTCGTCAAGGAACAAGAAAACCAAAATTTCAATCTATCCTTTTATAACCAAGAATAAAAAATTCAAAACTGAGAATTCAATCTGTTTTTTCGAAATTCGAAGAAAGAAATAAACTTTTTTCTAACCATTTTCAATAATTATAATTTTTAAGATCTGGAAATATTCTCAAAAAGATTAGTCAATTCTGTCTGTTCTTAATGGTCTTCAAAGTTTTATTCATAGAAAAAAAGAAATTCATTCGCAATTTTCGATGGCAAACCAAATATTTATTGTGAATTATTTCGAAAATGATGTCTTATCATAAATCAGTCAAGCATACATATGAAGCATACATATGCTTCACCACTATCTAAAAATCTTTAATCTTAATCGAGCATGCTAATTGCATATCTATTGAAATCATTTCAACTGATCTTGACCATATTACTCATAGAACTGCCACAAATCGCCGACTTCGACGAGCATGGATCTACACAAACTTTCATACAACACCAAGTCTGTATGTAAGTCATTCTAATCATTTCACATCATTTCCCATTTCTCTATGAAGTTTATCATTATTATATCATTTCACTATGAAGTTTAATTCCATCATTTTACCATCATGAGCATAATTTATATTTTCTAGTTTCAATGATAAACCATCAAAATGGAAGCAGTGCGAATGCGAAGAACTGCCAGATGAACAAGGTTATCACGTACGCTGTCGACGCCAGCCATGGCTCACGATACCAACAATATTACTCGACGAACAAACAGCCAATATTTCCAAAGTACCAATAATTATAAATAATTTTGGAAATAATAATTTTGGTCAACATTACCACAGCCATTCTTTATAAACAAAGATTAGATTGCAAAGCTACGATCTCAAAGCAGAATTAAGTTTTTATAATTTTTATAATAACTATAACCATGGCATTACAGAAAGTCAGAAAAGCGAAAATGATCGCACTTTCAATCATAGAAAGCAGTCTGGTGCTTTTATCTCAGGATGTATTTAAATGGCAAAATCTACAATTGCTTGATTTCACGCACAACAACATTGAAATCATAAATGTGAACGCTTTTCGAGGCCTTGAAGTTCGTCTTTGCCATCATTTCTTTCCAAGGAAAGACCCAAGGCTCAAATCGACCAAATTTTTTTCCTTCAATTTAATCTAAAATATAATTTTCAAGAATTTTAACAATACTAAATATTTTTTAGGTCTCATTTTTCAGAATATGCTTTATCAATTAATACTTAACCATAATAGCTTATCAGCGATACCAGTATGGTCACTGACATATCTTTATCAGCTTCGTTACCTTTATCTGCAAAATAATATGATCGTCGATCTGAAGTCTGACATGTTCAATGAAACATATCTGAATAACCTTCAATATATGCACCTCGATTATAACAAGGTCCGCGATTAAATTATGACAAAAATCTTTATAGAACAATAAGCAAATTACTTCTTCTGATAAGCTTAAAAAATTTACAGATAACAATATTACCAACTCGATCACTAGCCAGATTACCTCTAGAAGTATTCACCATCTCGAATAATCGAATCAGTGAGATCGAGAAATTGGCACTATCTCCCACAATATGGTTTCTTGATTTGAAAAACAATGTCTTGCAACAAGTAGGATATTAAGCAAACCTAATAAAAAAATAAGGTCAAAAATTTAGATCATTGTTGAAGTGAATATGTTAAATGGATTCAGATTCCTTACTTAGCGGTACGTGAATTGAAGTCATTGCGCATGTTCGACCTTGAAGGAAACAATATCACAGAAGTTAAACCGAACTCTGAAGTGGAATTTACCACTGATATGGATCTCATTCTAAGTAACAACAGAATCAGAATCCTTGGCGAAAATTCTTTCAATAGCTTTCAAAAATTCAATAAACTCGATTTAAGTTACAACCAAGTAAGAGATTTGCATTTTACAAAAAGAGGGCTATGTTTGTATGAACAAATTTCTTTGAAATAAGGCGAAATATGGCATTCTTGCATTTGATCTAAAATGAGCATATCAGTAAGAAATTACCTGAAAAAAATTTTTCTATACTTCCAACAAAGATTCTTCCATTATTAGGGAACAACTGCAAGAAATTTCAAGAATAATCTCATCTGATTTTCGAATACAATAAACTTATTGCTGAAAAGAAATTCTTAAACTAAATTAAATTTTAAGATTAAATTTTAAGAAAAAATAAATGATATAATCAATTTCGATACGACAGATTTCGACAATTGCTACGAGTGCATTCAGTTCTATAAGTCAAATGCGACAAATCGATCTTAGTTATAACAAAATCGTTCATATGGCAGCTGGAACATTAAATAATGTTGCCAAATCTCTTCGTCGGTTAAATCTCGAAGAAAACCAATTTCATACGCTTCCTATAGCATTGCAAGCATTACGATCATTGGAATATCTCAATATGAACGGCAATAAACTCACCAAGTCAGTACGACCACACATTAGCGAATTACAATTATTGCAAATTAGTTTCAACAATACTAATATCCTTTGCAATTATTTTTTACTTTCAGGCTAGATAACAGAACCATTAATAACCTGAAACCAGCAATAAGTGAACTTTTACTGGCCTATAACCGATTTATAGAAATCCCAAGTGAAGCCTTAGATGGAATGAGTAAACTACAACACTTGGACTTATCAAAAAATCGCATAAAGAATATCAACAGACTAGCTTTTGGGCGATTTGATGGAAGAGGTACGAGCCTTATCAGGCTAAACTTGGCTGGAAATCACATCGAGAAGATTGAAGACCCCGGCGCATTTCTTTATATGAGTTCACTTGTATATCTGGATCTCTCCTACAATCGTATTGTTAAGATAAGTGAAAACGCATTTGAACGACTTGAAGGACTCGAATCATTATTTTTACAGGTATGGAATTATAAATAAAATTTAACGGTGGAATCCGGTTGAACTGTCAAAAGATAAGTTTGGTTCTAGAAAATCAAATCATTGGATCAAAAATGTTGCAGAACAACCTTCTCCACTCATATCCAAAACGAGCATTATCACATCTTCGACGACTACGTTATCTCCTACTTGATAATAATCCAATCAGTTCATTGCCTGATTCAGTATTTCAAGACAATGATCAGCTCGAACGAACAAGTTTTAGTCGAACATTACTTTATTCGATAAGTGACCGAACATTTCCTGCGCCATCAGTTCCTAATCTTAAATCACTTAATTTTGCCTCATGCCGTATTCACCATATAGCATCTCGAGCATTTTATGATATTCCTAATCTACAACAATTATTACTCAACGATAATCAACTAACAACAATCAATTCTTGGGTAAATATTTTGGCCTTAAGCTTATTGAAATATGAATTCTGAATAAAAATTTTGTTAGCAAAAAAGAATCAGAGCAAAATTAGGTAAGGAGAGTGAAATAATTTGAAATTTAAGGCATTCTCATCACTAAAAAATCTTCAACAACTGAATTTGGCTAGAAATCATATAAATATTACAATGGAATATTCCATAAGTGATATGCCTTCACTCGAATTTCTATCCCTTTCGCATAATCGAATTCAATATCTACCAAAATCATTGCTGGTTGGTGTTAATAATCTGGAACATCTCGATATAAGCCATAATCGACTTAAAATATTCAATTTAAATTTTATGGAACAAAAATTGGCTCGAATCAAGACTCTTGACTTATCGCATAACAATATTGTCACGTAAGTTCTTTATTTATTAACCTCGAGGCAAAAAACACAAAGTGCACATACACAAAGTCTTCACTCTTCAGATTTGATTTAAACGCCATTAAACAATCCTTGGTTAATCTGAACTTAGCCTATAATAATCTACAATCAATTGGCAACAATATGATAAATGATTTTAATCAACTTCAAAATCTTGACCTTAGCAATAACGAAATCATGGAAATACAAAGCAATTCATTTACGGCATGTCCAAAACTCACAAAACTTATTATTACTTACAATCATCTTCGAATATTGCGAAAAGGAACATTCGCACATCAGGTATATATCAGAAAATTATTTAAGTTCTGGGAAAATTGAAAATATTAACAAAATTTTAGGAATTCTATTCGATGCTTAATCTTGCACATAATGCTATTGCCGAGCTCGATTATAACACATTTGGTGACAATAACGTTCAATATCTCGATCTGTCAAATAATGAGTTGAAATCGATACCACGACATGCACTCAAATCAATTCAAAGCAGTATTAGCACATTAGTTTTGAAGGTCTTATCTTTTTTCTAATAACCTTTGGTTGACCTCACTGACTTCGATGAAGTCCCCGACCAGATGTATTCGAAATTAACTGAAGCAATTCTTTTCTCCATCACCATATTCCGCTGATGGATTCAAACAGACCTTTAATTTTTTTTTTTTTCATTTAATCCATATTTTCAATAATTTCGAAGAAAACTTTTGCAGAGAAATCGAATAAGATCACTTGATTTGAACGATTTTAGCGGTATGAATAATCTTAGTGAACTTATTCTATCAGATAATCACATAGAAAGTATTGAAGAAGCAGCTTTTGCATCAATGCCTAAACTAAGAAAATTGGATCTCAGCCACAATCCTGTAATAACTTGGAATCCACATGCATTCAAAGAAAGTTTGATCTCTTGAGACTTTTCCAAATTCAAAAATTTAATTTTTCACAATCGACATCAACCATAAAGCGATAATAAACTGTGCGACTTTAGGAACTCAGCCACTCAATAGAAATACTGAACTTGGCGGATACGGGACTTTTCTCGGTGCCTAAAATAACAAATCGTGGACTTCGCAATCTTAATATTAGCTTGTAAGATCCATTCAACATAAACGATTAACCCCAAAACTAAAGAAGTTTATTAATGATAAAATCACTCCGTCAAAACGGAAAAAAATAAGAAAAAAATTGGTTTGAAAATTTTTTTTGTTTAAAGCACTGACTATTAGGATGAGAATATCATTTAGGGATAAAGACAGTGCCGACCAGAATTTATTAAGTTTTGCCTTCATCAAAAGGTAAAAATCCATAATGCTTTCGTTCTTAACCAAAGCATTTTACAACTAACCAACCAATTAATATTTCATCCTATGCAAAAATTTAAATAAATGAAAAAAAGAAAATTCCAGGAATAAAATCAATGAACTAAGCGTGAAGGAAGTATCCGATCATAAAAAGCTGGCTATTCTTGATTTATCGCATAATAACCTTAAAAATTTAGACGTTCAGTTATTTAATCGACTTTCTGAAATCAAATGTCTTAACATAAGCTGGAATCGTGTCGAAGAAATTACCGAAAAACATTTCGAAAACCTTTATTACGTACGAAAATATTACTTAAAACCGACGAAAATTTTTAGCAAAACTTTTAATTTTTAAGATTTACATGGTGTTTCAATAAATTAAAATTAAAATATTCTATCTTAGATGAAGGTGTGCAAAATGATTCTAAATCATTTAAGATTTTAGAGAATTTCGAAATTCTAGGCTTTCACTAAGTCATAAAACAAAGCAAAGTCCCAAGTTTTGTGCAAAATTTCTTCCATAACCTTTATAAGATATCTTGGATAAAACTATTCAAAATGATTTTATAAGATATTATCACCAGAAATCCCAACAATCTGCAGCAATCTTCGGGGTCCTCAATATTTAATAATTCGCATTTTAGATCGAAACCTTGACAATAACTAATATGTTAGTACTTCACACACTTCCTCAACCGCAAGCTTTCCAACATTTACGCCATCTTCGTAATTTGCATGTTAGTTTTCAATCAAATATTTTAAATAAATATTAAGTAAATATTTTTATTACGGTAATTTCTATATTTTTCACGAATTTACCAAAAATTGATGCAGAAAATGAATAAAAAACAAGATATTTAGTTGCACGATTTACCAATTATCAAATTCTACAATGTATCCAAAATTCTTCATTATTTACCACCTTTACGAGAATTAGCAATCGAGATAAAAGAATCAAGTTTAAATAATCAGTTGAAAGATATCGACTTACGTCTGCTGAGGAAAATTACTATAACAGGAAAACAATTGCGAAAGGTAAATTCAAACTAGTTGAAACTCAATAATAAACGCTAAAAATGGTTCGAATTATATTCGAATTTTTTAAAGAAGTCGAACAATTACTATTCTCTATATTATAAATATTGTGGTAGTCTAAAATGACAGCACTGAAGTCGGCGAAAAGGCTGTTCAAACTCGAAAGAGTGGACAATAGAATTTAACGCTTTCTTTTTTAAAGAAAACGAGAAGCATATAACTGAAACCACTAAAAAGAAACGGCCTAAAACTATTACATTCGCAAAAATAGAATTTAGATATTCAGATATTCAAATAGAATTCAGATACGAAAATAGAGTTTATTAAAAGATCAAAAAAAGGTAAAAAACAAATAAAAAGTGATTTAATTTATTAATAAAATATTGCAGATTGAAACAGGAGCGTTTATTCGATTACGTGGCTATAAAATCGAACTAATTGTCCGCGATACCTCTATTAGAGAATTCCCTCCAGCTATATTTAACACCTTAACTGGTGTTAGTTTCCTGTCGTTATCATTAATAAACAATTTACTGGAGACATTTCAGCCTTTTTCTTACACGAAACCTCCCGTCCTTAACCAGCATGGCACTATACTACATGATCTTCAGTTGATGGTAGGTGAAAATATCGAATTAATGAGAGGTAATAAAAACTGTTTTAAATTTGTTTTAAAAAAACTATATTTAGGGAAATCCTATTGTCTGTGATTGTCGCCTCAAATGGTTAAATCAGTGGTTAGAATATCATCAAGGAATACAACAGCACCTAACGATATCGAAGAATGGTATAAAATGTATCAACACTAATAATCAGTTATCAAATACTGCATTTAAAACAGTTTTGTTAAATTATTCGCAAACAAGTTTAAAATATTGTTTTAAAACCGATAATAATCAAGCGGACCATCGTTTCCACGGCTTCAATTTATATTTTATAATTTTAACAATTGTCACCGGTAGATTTTAAAATAAAAAACATTCCATTAAGAAATTGATGAGATCTTTAAGTAACTTCGACCGAATAATTCTTGAAAATTAATAATTCTTGAAAACTTTGAAAAAAATAGTTTGGAAGATGAAAATCTTTAAAAAATTTAAATATTATAATAAATTATCAAAAACCTAAAATAAAAAAAAATAAATTCATTATCTACCTAAACTTTTCCACGATATTTTTTTTCTTTAACTATAGCTATGAACGCTTAGAACTTACTATTTCAAATACGAATTTCGATAATTTTAGATAATTTAATTTCCATTGTTTTATCTACAATAGTAGCCTCAAATGAGTTAAATTAAAGGTGGGAATACACCAAAGAATTTGGTTAAGAGATTACACTGAGCAATTTTCCGCATCGAAATAATATTCTTTTCCACTTTCATTAGATCGAATATGCAAAGTGAAACGAAAAGAATAAAGGAAGATAAAAAATAAAAGAAAAAGAGAAGGAAAAAAAGAAAAAAGAAAATAACTCATTGAAAAAATAATCATTAACTTGAATCATGTAGAAATAAGCATCAATAAAAATAAGAAAGAATGTTAATTTTGTGAAAGAAAAAAACATACCCTTTTAATTTCACTAGTGGAATCATCGATGTTGGATCGAAATTTCTGATTATACGACGACACATTTCTTCAATTGATTCATCACTAGATATACCATCTCCTTGGAAAAAAAGCTTTAGATTTATTTATATCATTTAAGACGTAAAAAATAATAGAAATAAATATAGAATAAAAATAAAGTAAAAAATAAAAAATAAAAATAATAAAAAATAGAAAAATTTAATATAACAAAAAAAATATATCAGAAACAAAAACCTGCAACTTCTATTATGGAAGCAAATAAAATTTGCATGAATATATTGAGTTCATCAGGCAGACAACCAGCGATAAAACGGAAGATTGTTGCTCTATATGTTTCTGCTACCTTTCCTACTACATTATTCATTTTTCCAAGCAATATCCTGGAAAAAATAACTTCAATTCACAGATAATGAGAAATTGTTCACTGTTAGTATTTCGATCATATGGAACCAACGCATAGGGTATAAACTTATGGAAAATAAACTCAAAAAATAAACAAATGGAACAATAAAACCTAAATACCTCATCAAAAAAGGTAATATTTCTGAGCGATGTTCTTTCGCCACAATAGAATCTTCACTATCAATAGAAAAACGAACAATTTCATCCAGAAAAGTACGTTCACTAACAATATTATCTAGGTTTACCCTGAAAATTTAAAGTACCTTTGAACCATTAAATCTAAAATTTTGATATCATTATATCGTAATTAACATCGATGTTCTTACCGATAGCAATTTATCGCTTTATTTTTATAAGCATATAAGCATTTGATCGTAGCTTTTTGAATAAAATCATCACCAATCATTAAAAGCTGAAAATGATTTGCTGAATAAAAAAAAATCAGAGAGTGAAAATATAAATGTTTTGCAGCATTTGCACCCAAATGATATATGAAACAGAACAATGGGCAAATATATGCTGTTAAAAAAAAAAAAAAAACGGTTTCAGTTCAGAATTATTTGCTAAAATTAAATTGAATTTAATTTAATTTAATAATAACTAAATTAAATTTTTAAATAAATAAAAATTCTCAACCTCGTCATAAAGTTGCCTGATATCTCTTTCCATATATATGTTTCTTGGTGTTTTAAAGTGACTATAAACCTCAAGAAGGGCAACAATAGATTCTTTGATGATTTTTCGACTTATTATTTTTGCGAATCCATCATTAGACAATACCGTTAATTCCGACCGCTTTTTATTAATTTTCTTCTTCCTTAAAATCATTGATATAAATAAATAAATAAATAAATCATTGATTATTATATTTATTTAACGGAATTATACCGATGGCTTTTTACAAGAATTTTTATGCTAAAAAAATGTCGAAATGAAAATGAAAAAAGAAAGTGAGCCATTAACCAATGAGAAAAATGACTTTCAGCATATCGAAGTGAAAAGCCAAGTGAGAGAACCAGGATTAAAACAATCTATGACGGAAAAATACAGTGGAGCATTTATCTATAGGCCTAAACATTAAATTAAAATATATAAAATCTATTAAATATATTCATATAATGAAAATAACAATAAGAAACACACCCATACGATTCGAACCCATCTCGCATTTCTTCTTTTTCATTTGTTTCAATATTTCTTACCTCCTTAGAATCACTGGTTATATCTTCGAGAACACGACTAGTAAATGCTGCATTCTGGTATTCTTTGCTGAAAAGGACGAAAGAATTATCTCTCATAAGCAACAGTCAAAAAAATATTTAAATGGACTTATCACACAATTTTTTAAAAAATGAATTCAGAATTCAAATGAAATCACTATAGTGATTTATCAAAGTTTTAAAATAATCTGTTCAATCACCAGTAATATAATTAAGATTAACCTGTACAAATTTAAAAGCACTGGGCTCAATGATTTTGTATTTCGTTCAGCAATGTGACTGAACCGAGCAAGAACTTTCAACATTTGCAAACGAAATGTTCCATAATTTGGAAATGTTTGTTGTGAAGGTCCTACCATTAGATCAATACAAAAATTTGAGTGCTCCTGTCTTTTTATACATTTCGAATTGAGGTATGAAACTGGAAAACAATAAAATAATAAACTTCAAAACAATAGCCATGAAAAATAAAAAAATTGAAATTTTTACTGCAACTAACCTATTATATCACTTGCTTCGCTGATAAATGAGAAAAACAAAGGCCAGAAAACGTCGATGTTCAAACCATTTGCATATGATTCAATTATTTCATAAAGATGAGGCCATATAATGACAAAATTTTCATAAAATTGTGCAATAATAATGCGCAAAGGAATCTAAAATATAACGAACCATGAACTATGCTTCTTTCACTAATTAGAGGAAGAGGAAGAATAACCAAATGAATAATGGCCCCAGATTATAGCCTTAGGAGATAAGAAATCCAACTCTCTGTGCTCTCTATAGGAATAAGCCCGTAATTAAAAAAATCCCGGTGGTGCTCAACTCACTTCTACTTGTACCGCCAAGTAAACCTCTGGCAAATTTCTAATCAGCGGGTTAGCCAAACCAGAAATGATGTGTATTAACCAGTTATTCTATTTTTTTTCATTAATTATTAGTCATCCAAACTAAAGGAATGTCTCCGGAAGTCAGCCACTTCCACGCTAACGCATACTAATAAGAGGTGTGCTAGTTGGGTATCGGAAGCAACTGTCCAACTATCTAAAAAAGCTACCAAAGCAAGAGCGTCAGGTGATCCTGACTACCGGATATTTCGAAGATTTGCAACGAAAGCAGAAGCACGGCGGGATAGAAATCACTATTGGAGTGACATAGCCTTAAGAATGGAGGCAGCGGCTCGATTAGGCGATAATAGGAAACTATTCCGCTTTCTTCATAAAGCAACTATCAGTGAAATGGTAAGGGACAACAATGGCGTGCCAGTCAAGAGTATTAAGGACCGCTTCATAAGATGGAAAGAATTTTTTGAGGCCAAATTTATCCATGAAGCGCCATCTGTTGCCCCTGATATTACGTTAGTTGAACCATATGCTTGCAACTGCGAGCCCCCGAGAAATAATTTTTGTTACCAATAAGCTTAAAAGCCAATAAGGCTCCGAGAGAAGATGGTTTTCGGGCTGAACTTTTTAAATGTTGTCCATCGTCCTTCATAACGCACCTTCAACTAATATGGTACTCTATGGTATAGAAAAAAGAGATATTACTAGATGATTGGAACAAAGCAATTCTGCTCCCAATTTTCAAGAAAGGTGATGGGATATACTGCAATAACAATAATTATCAAGGAATCACCTCACTAGACGTTTCAGCGAAAACTTTTGCTTCCCTTTTACTCAACAGACTTATGGAAGTACGAAAGAGCAGGATGATCCCTAATCAAGCTGGATTCAGACTAGGGAGCAGTTGTGCTGACCAGATATTCACGTTAAGAAGGATATTGGAACATCGCTTCAGATATTTGCAACCCACTGTAATGTGTTTCATTGATTTTGTGGCTACCTTTGATTCAACTGATAGAGCGGCGCTTTGGAGGGTGATGGAACGTGATGGTGTTCCAGAGAAAATCATTAGACTCATAAATGCATTTTATGAGCGCACGTCGGCGCAGATCTGTGTATATGGGGAGCTGACAGATTCCTTCGAAATAAGAACAGGTGTCCGTCAGGTCTGCTAATCCGTCCTTTCCCCTACAATATTCAACTATGCAATAAGCTGGATAATGGATTGCTTGTCGGCACTCAAAGGATGTCCAAATCAGTCCAGAGCATCGTATCACAGATCCTGAATACGCTAGTGATGTAGTCCTTTTTACTGACAATTATAATGAAATGCAAATCATGTTAAACAATGTGTTAAATAACAATTGCAGCGAGAATTGAATTCAAAATCAATGTAAATAAAACGAAAATATTTTCGTCTTATGTGCAAGAAGCTAATAAAATGCCTCTTTTTGTAAATTCATGGTCGGTTGAGGAAATACCCGATTTTAAATACCCTGGGTCCACTCTAATACCAAATGGCCAGGCAAAAGACGATATTATAGCACGGATCATGATGCGTTAGAAATGCGTTCTTCCGGTTGATTTTATGGAGCTGTCGTAAAATTACCATAAAAACGAAAGTCCGAATCTGTATAGCCGTGATTTGTTCGATTTTGCTATATAGCTCTGAGACATGGCCAATGAGAGTGGAGAATATTAAAGAATTATTTACCTTTGACCACTCTTGTCTAAGGTATATTTTACCGATCCGTCGAGCGGATAAAATATCACATGATCGCATTCACCTTCATTCAAACACCATCTGTATTAACAATGTTATCATAGAGTCTTCGGTGATTAGGGCACGTTCTCCATCGTCCACCACAAGAATTGTCGCATATTTCGTTACTTGCTAAACCGTGTGAAGGATGGCGTCAAAAGCGAGGTGGGCCAATCAAAACCTGGACTGATACGGTCAGGAAAGATTTTGAACGTATAGGTGGACCAGCAATATATGGACGAATGAAAAAGGAATGGCTTCTATCACTGCCGACGATGGCATCAGACCTCGCCGCTTGGAAAAGTCTTACCCTTATAGACGTTAGAGCTAACCAGTCAGCTAACCAGTAATGGTGAGAGATGTTAGAAGAAGAAGAATCATCATATATCACGAATAAACAAAAAAATGGTAAAAAATAATAATAATAAAAAATAAAAATAATAAAATAATAATAATGGTAAAAAATAAAAAATTATAATTTGAAAAAATTAATTTAACTGTCTCAGTTAAGCCAACAACTGGAGATGAAAAATGGCGCAAATGATCTCCAAACCGTAATAATCGAAACAATTTCATACGCTCCCGATAACATTCTAGTGAAAGTGGTGTTCGCTCGGCTTGCAACAATATTTCGATGCCATTTTGTGTTAACTTGAAATATAAATTTAATAAATCGATAAATTTCACTTAATTAAAAGTATCATTAGATTTAAAGACAAACTTTGGTAAAAAAAAATAAAAGATATAAAAGATATCTTAGCCAAAATTAATTTTGATAAATAAGAAAAAATAAATTAAAATTAGATAAAAAATAAGTTAAATCATACAGATTCGCCATCAACATGATCATGCATTTTGAGATTAAAACAGAGCAAAATTTCGAGTGCTATTTGTCTAACAAAAGTATCCCAGTGACCAAATGATTTCAGCAATACTTCTATAACCTAAAATAAATAATAAAATTAATATTTATATTCTAATTTATTACTTTGGTATATTTTCCTGGAAAAAAAACTGATCTATTTCATAAAAATTCTAATTCCTATCAATTCTAATTCCCTCAAATACTCGTTGTTTACTCGTTTTTTTTAAGCACATTAATCACTTCTTAAAGCTCCAAAAATAACAGTTTTACGTCAATATTAACCTCCTCATGCTAATCTATTCTTATTGCGATGCAAAACCCCTTGCATCTTTTGTTCACCAATACTTCTTAACAATTCGTTAAAAGTCCAGATTTTGAAATATTTCGAAATCTCCTGAAATCTATCATCTATCATGATGCAACAAGGTTCCAAGATTTTAAGAAAATATCGGACCATGGAAACAATTCGAACTCGTCATTTTTTATCTAACAACTTAATAAAATATCTCAGCACTCTACAAATAACTGTTGTTAACCGTTATAATAATACTGAAAAAAAGGAATTAAAATAGATGAAGTTAACGAACCGAAGAAATAGCTTTTTCTTGATTAATTGTTCTAAAATCGCCAGTATGAGGCAAAATAATCCGTAAAATTTGCAAAGAACTTCTGCAAGAATCATTTCTCCTACAATTAACAGCAAATAAATCCATATTTTAACATTCAAATACTTTTCCTAATATTTCTGTATGAAAATTTCCAAGATTTTGTTATAATAAAATGAATGCCAACCTTGCAAAAGAAAGAATATCAACAAATAGAAATGTTGCGAACAAATTGGTATCAACGACTGCGATAGCATTTGCCAATAAAAGAATTAAATTTAAATTTTTTGCAGCATCTAAATGTTGTTCGGCATCAACCAGCAATAATAATCGAAGAATTTCAACAAGAATCTCGCTTGCTGAAATTTTATCAAAAATTTACAAAGGGAAAAAAAATTCACGAAAAAAGAACAAATTTATTTAAACTCTCAGAATACTATTAAAAGCTGTATCTTCATATTTTTTAAGTTCACCTTCAGGCTTCTCAACTCTTCGCCACATCCACGGATATATACAACAAACATATTCCAAAAGCTCAATCCTCGACTTCACCATTTCAGCAGTTGAATGTGATTTTAATATAGTAATCAATTTCGTTCTTACTTCTAAGTGGTAACTAACGTCAAAAAATGTCGACATTTTATTATCTGCAAGTAGATTAAGAAATATTTTGAAAATTTATTACCTGTGAAATTAATGAGCATACTTCCCAATTTTTAAGAAATATACTTTTTAGAATAACCTCTTGTCTGTAATGGTCTTTTCCTTGAGCAGATGAGTGCGTAGAACTTGAAAATCAATATTAAAGGACGAATTATCACTGCTTGATCACATGCTATTAGAATTTTACTTGAATATTTCCCTAATATAGGCATTAACCAAACATCGAACATTGCAGTATCAACAAGATCATAAAAAACATTTAACACAACATCAACATCATCGCTGAAAATTAAAGATACTTTTCTTTTAGGTGCGAAAGTTTTTCAAAAATTTTTCTTACAAGTGGCGAATATAATCTTGTTCTTTTTAATTAAGGGAATAACAAGTAGAAATTTAAAGCGTCTTAATTAAATCAACAGTGAATTCCTCCATACCAAATTAATTAATTAAAATATGCAAAAATTCTAGAGATATTGGGCCAGCTGCTTTTTATTTTTATTTTGACTTCAAAATCATAAATAAATCGATTCGAAAAAACCAATCTATGAAAACTGACATCCCAGCTTTGTCCGTAAAATATTGAAAAATATTTAAGATCAATGAACGACAATCTTGTTCATTACAAAAGCTGAAAAAAAAACAAATCCAAGCAAATAATAAATTCAAAATTATTCAGATTATTCAGAATTCAACCTATATTTTCATTCCTTTGTTATTCTGAGAATATTTCAGGTGGAGATATTTCATTAAACATATATTCCAAAAAAGTGACTTGAAGTGAAATAAAAATATAAAAAAAATTAATAAGAAATTAAATCAAAATGACCTCAAAACAGCTGCTGACAATACTTTAGAAATATCCGTATTCGTTTGCCAATTTTCAGATTTTATACAGCTTATCAGTGAATTTAAAAGAATAGAAGGATTATGAATAAGTTTTCCTTTCTTACCAGTGATCCATATCAACAATAGACGAGAAAATGCAATCGCATTCACCAAAGAATTGGAAGTAAAAGAATATATAAATTTATTCTGAAGACATTTTCATAAATAAAAAATTTACAAATAAATAATCGTGAAATATTTCACAAGAGAATTAATTAGAAAATTAATTATTACCAATATAACCTCTAAAATCGGTTCGGAGTATTCTTTAGTGGTATATGCTACGCATCGAGACATAAGACTCTCAAGAATTCGGAAAGCTATATCTTTAGTGGCTTTTTCCGTTATAAATAATGATGCTTGTAATATTTCCGTCAGCAACTAAAAAACTTTAAAAAAGTTAAATTTAAAGTTAATTTAAAAAGATTAAAATTTGCTCATCAATAAAAAATTTATTTATTTCGTTTTTCTAACTAAATATTTTATAACTCCGTTTTCATAACTCTTTTAAAATGAAGTTAAAATTTCCATGTAAATAAACAATAATTATTACCCACCAAATAAAAAGAACTTTGGAAATAAAAAGAATTTAACTATATTTAGTCTATATTTCACCTGAGGAGAAGAACTTTGGAACTGATGCATAACTCCTTTAATTGAATTGAAGTATAACTGAGATATACCATCAAATAAAGCATCATCATTTTCCTGAAAAATATGGTTCAATCGATGTGCAAAAGAACTGATTAATTTGATTAAAATTAATAGCTAAAAAAACCAAAAATAACGAAAATTATTTAACAAAAATTTTAAAAAATATGGAAGAGGAATGAATGGATAATTTTTTTTCTAATAATTAAAAGATAAGCATAGCATTCTCTTTTTAAAAATAATCAAAAAGCAAGAGAATAAAAAGTAAAACTATATAAAGCAAAAAATTTGCTGAAAGTAAAAGTAATATAATTAATTCAAAAAATAAATTATCAATACCTTTTCAGCGAATTCAGCCAGAAATATAACTAATTTATCGATATGTTTTGATTTGCGTAACAAAAATGCAAAAGCTTCTGCAGCAAATCGACGTAAATATCTCTTTTTGTTAGAGAAAAGCCTAATAAAGCACCTTAAAACGAAATAATAAAAAGAAAAGAAATAAGGATAACATATAAAAAAACGATAAATAATAATTAATAAATTTTAAATAAAAAAATACATGAAGGTGCGCCGCAGTTCTTTGATGATATTTCGCCACTGAAGCTTAAAAAACACTGCCAATGTTTTAAATCCACTCTGGAGAAGATCAACGTTTTCACCATTTTCATCGAGAATATCAATAATGACATCAAAAAAATCCCACATATATGGTTTTAAATCGTCTCTTAAGTCACGAGCAAATGCTATCGTCAATCTGGAATATCCTTATTTCTTCTATTTTATTTTATAAAATTTTTAAATTAATAAACTCAGAAAAAATTAAATTATGGGTTTAATGAGTTTTTTTATAGTCATCAGAAACAAAAACTAATATTTGGTATAAAATCTTTTCCCAGTAGAATATAAACCTTACTCCAAAATAGTAGCCTTTGATGAATTCTCTCTTGCTTTCAGATATTTCATAAGGATGTTAAAAAGTGTTTCCTGGTGATATAATAATTGAGCGTAAGTGCGAAGTTCGCCAATTCCATGAGGGATATCAGCCAAAAATGCTCCTAAAATGAATCAAATCATGAATCTTCCTAATCTTTTTCTTAATGATAACAATGGTAATGGTTCATAATCAAACAAATCTCGCATATTTCCTTGGCATAATCATAGATGAAAATCTTGACTTCGACCTTTACTGCAAAGCCAATGAAATCCTTAAAAATCCTAAATTTTATTTTTCGTTCGTTTATGAATAGAACTGAAGATTTTATTATCAAAATGTAAAAGCATTTGTTGCGTCTTCTTGACTACAATATTACCTGTTACTCACTGAGATACAGGCAAACCAAGTAAAATAATTGAAGAACTCTAGAAATATTTTATATGTCGTCTCTGTTCTAGCAACTTTGATTATAAAACACAACTTCGACAATATAACCTCTCTCTCCTCTCAATTGGATTCCTTCTCAATTCGTCCAGTTAAACAAGATTTGGTTCATACTTCTATATGGTTATGTTAAATTAGACTGTTCAAAATATTAGTTTAAATTTGAGCCCAACAAAATCTATCAGTCTAAAATTACTAAAACCTATAATAGACAAAACTAAACTAAGGATTTCTTTATTAGTACTACTAATTACTGGAATAAAAAATACCGAACGATGTAGATTGTGCGTCATCCTTACCTATTTTTTAAAAAAGATTAGATAATATCATTTATAATTAAGTTCATGCAAGAAGAAATCTTGATTTTTACCATCCATTCCGAATTGTACTATTTTGTAACTCCTTTTTATTTCCTCTTTACTTTATTAATCTTTGTTCACTTTCTTTTTTTATCATTAATTTTCACTATTTGTTATTTTAACTGTTGTTATGAATACATGGCGCTTGCGGCCCTGCTTAGTTGACTTTTCAATAAATAAATAAATGTGATGAAATTTGAAATGAACTGCAGTGAAGAATAATAAAGTAAAGATATAACTCTAACTGATTCTATTGATCCTATACTTCTATTCCTATCCCTACTTCTATTTTTTCACTGCGTTTGATTTCCTGACTATAGGATCTCAAATTAATGCCAAGAAAACCAAAGCAGCAATGGCAAATCAAAAAGAAAGAAATGATTTAATGATAAATGATAACCATAAATATTCAACGAGATTTTCAATCTATCCATTATATACACAAATCAAACCATATCAATGGAAACAAACTGGTGAAAAAAAGAAATATTTACGAAATTGACTGCCAAGATCGACATCACTCCATTTTGCTATAGCGTCATAGAAAAATGTTTCGAGTTGAATTTGTGAATTTGGCAAAGCAATTTGGTATCGAATAGCTTCAGCACTCGCCTTCGCAATTTGTTCAGTGAATGGAATATACTAAAAATTGTGACTATTAATAAAAGTCTTCTAATAGCTCTCACCATTACCAGTAAAGCTGGCCACAAGAGTAAGGGAGTAAGAGTCTCTAAGTTGCTCGGTTCGACGCCATCACTAATATTACTAGAAGCCATTCCATTTTCCATCGTCTAAGTCCATATATCGCTGGTCCTTTTACACGTTCAAAATTTTTCCTGACTGTATAAGTCCATGTCTTGATTGGTCCTCCTCGCTTTTGACGCCAAACATCACAGAGTTCGGCAGATAGCGAAATATGCGTCAACTCCTGTGGTGGACGACGGAGAACGTGCACTATCCAGCGAATGCGACGCTCCGTGATAGCATTATTAATTATTTATTAATAAGATGTTATTTGAGCGAAGATGTATGTGCGTCGCTCGATGGACTCGCAAAATGTACCTTAGACATGAGTGGTCAAAGGCTGATACTTCTTAATATCTTCCACTTTTATAAGCCTTATTTCGCAGCCATATAGAAAGATTGAGCGAAAAGCTATATGGATGCGGATGTTCGTCTTTATGGTGTTTTCGCGATGGTTCTACAAAGCTTTCAATCAGAAAAATACATTCCTAGCTGCCGTTATCCAGGTTACAATTTCATCCTTTGTCTGGCTATTTGGGATTAGAGCAGATCCAAAATATTTTATATTTTTATATTTTTTATATTTATATTTATATATTTTTTTGAATGTTAATGAAAGCATTAGCATTAGCAAATATTTAAATTTGAATACTTTATTACTTTGGTCAAAAATATTTACATTAATATATGCTCAAAAAGACTGTATTTTCAATTCCAGCAGTTCAATAAAAATTCAATAATATAAGAATCAATAAACTAATAAGTAATTTTGCAATATTTAATGATAATTCATTCAAAAAAGTTTTATTAAAATTTTATAAAACGATGAAAATCCGAATTCCCATTTCGCCGAAAGTCTTTTTTTTTAAAGAATCTCCACCATTACTCGTTACTCCTTAAATTCGCTCCACTGACTTGTGGCATTAGGCAATATGCCAGGGAGTCCCCTGGCGATAGAAATACAGGTGAGCATCACTCGGATTATTTTTGTACAAGTTTACTCCTGCGGGAAATCGAACCTCACCATCAATGCTCTCAATTGAGCAACAACCCATTGAGCCATTCTATCACACAAAGTCCGAAAGTCAAAGTCATTAAAATAATTCATTCATATTTGTTTATTAAATATTACTTAAATTTAAAAAATAAAAAACAGACTTACGCGAAATGGATGTTTTGAAGTCGACGACTTTTGTTTCATTCCTTCAATATTATAATACAACAAACATATAATAATAAATGAAAAAATTAGAGAATAATTTAAGTTAAACAGTAAAAAGGAAAAGATGCGAATCGGACGCGAAGTGCGTATGTGACGTTCTTTCTGCGCCATAAGCTTAGGCAAAGACTCACATGTAGAACGCAAAAAAGGACTACGCTTAGTGGCCTAAGCCTAAGGAGGAGGAGTGTATTAGAGTTAGAGACAAGTCAAGCAGAGCCGATATTAAGGAAGGACGGAACGACGCTATTCAACGAGGAATTTGCCAGATTTTGCTTGAAGTAAGTTTCCTTACGCAAATACACATCTTCAGAAATTATTTTAAAAATTATTTAATTAATTTTAAAATTTTAGAAAATAAATGAACGCAAAATTAAAAAACATTTGCCACCAATACCATTTTGAAATACAAAAATGTAAATTAAATTAATTCCCCATTCCTACCTTAAATCGCATTTTAAAAATACAGAAATAAGGGACAATAATCTTCGCAATTTTCGATCTCAAAACCAAAAGGTTGGCAGTAGGCCAACAACCGCAATTGCATTTTAAAGTTTCGACCGTATTTTAGACATCATATTCAACTTCGAAGTCTGTTGATGATGAGGTGGAGTTTCGGAATTTCACGAAGGGGGGTGAAGAATGGTTGATTGGTTGCTTGGAGGAGGTTGTTCCAGCGGTCATTTGGTGTAAGGACTTCGGACACCAAAAATTTAAATATAATTTAGGGCTTCGATTAGTTTGAAATAAATAACGATCAAGCACGATGCTCGTATTATTTGCAATAATATTTGTTAAATTTCAGTTGTTCAGGCACAATTATGTTGCGTAGAAATTTACGATTTATCGAGTTTTATAGTTGTTTATCACGGAGAATATTTTCTCTGAAACAGTCTTCATCATTTGTATATTGTCGATTATTTGCTTCATCAAGTGGTAGTTTTTTCTAACTGTTTAATTAAAAGTAATTTTAATCGTCACTGTTTTATTATTGAGTATTTCTTCATGCGCTGTTCGCTTGCGTGGACAGCGCTGACGAATATTTGTAAATTTGCGCTTTTTCCTTTTTTCTTTTCTTTTCCATTCATTTCCGCTCCTTATTGTTCTATTGTCATTCTTTAAATTTCTGCACATTCTTTGACAATTCTCAAAACTTCAAAGCGCATTGTATTTTCTTGACAGCTTCCAAACTCTGCTGCATTGTTTTGGACCAAATCTGTATAATTTTTTCTTAATGTCTTTGGATTTCGCCCATACTTCTTCATTACTCCCCTTTATCTTTATTCGTCCTGAATTTTTTTATACAATTAATTGTTGATTACTGTAGTATTAAACTGTAAGGTTTCGAGATAGAGGCATTGGTAAGCGAGTGATTTGGTTAGGTTTGTTGCTTCATTGGCTGCATTGTAACGAATTTTTGCTAGAGTTAGATGATCACTTGAAAATAAAGGGATGAGTGGGTTTATAGTTTGGATTATTTGGTTTATTGGCACATTTACTTCTGACTGGGTCAGAATTTAAAACCCGTTGTCATTGAGGAGGTTCTCCGAAGAAATTAAGGTAAGAACTGGAATTTTTGAAGGATGCGCAGGATCCAGAAGAATATTATTTGCAAGTTAAATGGAATATTAGGCATGCTGTGGTTCTAAAAGATAAAAAGTATGAATGGATTTTTGACAAAGTTGGGTAGAAGTTTTTCTGGAATGAACAGATGAGTTTTTTTCACAAAGGCACACTAACAATAAATTCGCACTAACAATAAAGGCACACTAACAATAAAGGCACAATAAATTCTTTAAGTAAATTCCTTGGTATGCTATTTGATGTCTGTTCGCAGTCCATTATATTTCCTACTCCTTGCCATTCTAAATTTAAAATTCTCTATTTTTTCGATGCATTTCCAAAACCCTGTGTTATTCTACGTTTTGTAATTTTATAATTTGTAGTTGTAGCAAAAGAGGATATCGAGATTTGACAATCCCTTAAATTAATAAAGTAAAGGTAAGGATATTATGTTAAGATAAAGAAAAGGTAAGGGCAAAGGTATTAAGAGACTAAAAACGGAGGCTAGTGGAATAAAAATCGGTAAAAAAAGATTTAAAATAATGCTAAAAACTTATAACAAGGAGACGGAATGATTTAGGTTACAGTGAAAATAATGGTAAAGTGGGTTTTCGAATTTTTAAAAATCGAAAATGGTTACTGAATGAATATTACTAACTAATCAAAAGAAATAAGCATTCTGAGGTTTAAGGGATTACAA